ATGCGAAGATTTTTTAATAGAAATAAATTATTACATGCGAAACAGTTCGGATTTACAAGGGGTCGTTCAACAACTGATGCCGGTGTTGAACTTCTTAATCACATTTACGACGCGTGGGAGGACTCAAGCGACGCTTTGGGAATATTTTGTGATTTATCCAAGGCGTTCGATTGTGTGCTTCATGATACACTGATCAGGAAGCTATCCCATTACGGAATAAGAGGTGCATCTCTGGACCTTCTTACCTCATACCTGAGTAATAGGGTTCAGAGAGTTGAAGTAAACGGAGTGGTTTCTGCCGGGTCTGTTGTGAAGATGGGTGTTCCGCAGGGTTCTATTCTCGGCCCGTTTTTATTTCTTATCTATATTAATGACTTGCCTTACCTTGTAAGGGATAAACACGAGATAGTGCTGTTTGCTGATGATACCTCACTATTATTCAAACTCAGACGACGACAATTAGTTATTGACAATGTAAACAGTGCTCTCTCAGAAATAGTTCACTGGTTTGGTGTTAATAACTTATTACTAAACGAAACTAAAACTAAATGTATTAAATTCACAACACCAAATGTTAAACAGGTAAAAACCAGTGTGCTTGTCAAGGGCGAGGAGTTGAGTCCTGTAGATACAACTGTCTTTTTAGGTATAACCCTGGACGCTAAGCTCCAGTGGGGCCCTCATATAGATGGCTTGTCGAAGAAGCTCAGTTCTGCAGCATATGCCGTTAAAAAAATTAGAAATTTAACAGATGTAGATACAGCGCGGTTAGTTTATTTTAGTTATTTCCACAGCATCATGTCATACGGTATTTTGTTGTGGGGGAATGCTGCTGACATTCAGTCTATTTTTGTTCTGCAGAAAAGGGCTATTCGATCAATCTATAATCTTAGTCCGAGGCATTCGCTCAGAGAATTATTTAAGGAAACTAAGATAATGACGGTTGCCTCACAATATATTTATGAAAATGTAATTCACGCTCATAAAAACAAAAGCTTATTTAAGAAGCATAGTGATATACATAATATTAACACGAGGGGGAAAAACAAATATGTTGTCCCTGCCTCCAGGCTTCAGAAAATAACTAGTTCGTTTAGATGTCAATGTATACGCTTTTACAATAAAATTCCTAGCGATATTCAAAATTTGAGCCTCAATAAATTTAAAAGTGTAATAAAGGCTAAACTTTGCTGTAAAGCATTTTATAAAATAAAAGACTACTTAGAGGATAGTCAGGCATGGGAATGAGCCGCTGTAATGTCTGCACAGGTCATGTTGACATGTTTGTAACATAAGTTACAATTTTATATACAATTTGACATTACGTTTATTTTTTATTTTTTATACAATGACATAATCACCTATTGTGACATTTTATTTTTTATTTGACATTTTTTTTTTATTAATTTATTGACATTTTTATTATTTTATATTATTGTTAGTGTAAGGACCGTGTGAGACTTGCCGTGCTTTTTGATTACCAGTTATCTGCGTTCTGACAGTTTGAGTACTTGCGCGACCCACCCAAATGTTGTATTGTTCGTCGGACAACTCAGCAGCACTAGCTATACTGGTTGCAAACTGACACTTGCGTGCCTGTCTTCAGAACGGGTCCACTTAAACTGGTGTGGTTCTTTCCTCAAAAGACCACTACAGAATGAACTTGCACGATTCTCTCACATTATGTTATTTTTACATTGTCTGGACTTGAAAAGAGACTGACCTCTGAGTTTGTTTCGGCATTTCTTCTCAGAGTAGTCAGATAGGAAATGCCGGCTTCATCTAGTTTTTCACATATAAATTGACGTGTAAAAGTGCCGTTTTATGGCCTATTTGCAAAAATAAATTCATTGTTTCATTGTTTCATTGTTTCAATACTGGACATTAAAGCGTTCAAAAGACTGCACTCCTCACTTAGGATTGAAATCATATTCTATCAAAAATAACAAGTATCAAAAACTGTCGCGTCGTAGTATTCCGCGTTGCCACAGTTGCGATACTGGTGACCTCATTTATTCCACACTCTTTTTTGCCAAGCTGTACTTCTGAGTAAATTATATTTTTCGTTTTATTTTCTTGTGGCAGAAGAATATATTGATTGTTTCCGCAACCTAATCTTGACAACGCAACATATAGTGGCCGTGCAAAAAACAGTCTTGCTGTAAATCTAATCCTACATATTTAATGTTTGCCCCTGTCATATATTTGTCGATGCATGTAAAGGCAAATCATTTGGAATCATTAGGATCCGAGGTATAAATACTGTTTGACCAACCGCTGGACCAGCCAGAGTTGTTGCAACGATCACATTATTGCGAAGAAATTTAACCTGAAGTCGAGTCCCGTTACATACATTTTGGTGGCTTAAGATTTTTTAGTAAAATAATAGGGGCACCAATTTTTTACTTGAGAGAACGTAATGGGATGCCCCTCTAGATTTAAAGAATTAAGAAATTCTTATAGATAATGGACTACATATTCTTGATCCATTACATTATCAATAGGTATGTAGGTGATTATATCCCCTGGAAGTTTAGGTAAAATTAAATCGTTAATCCGTCAACACTACTGATTAATATTCTTTATTTTCCATTTCGACGATATCTGGGTAAACTTTTGATATTTAACTCTCAATGCTAGTCACTTTTTCTCCTAAATCTTGATCAATAGGTTTATTTTCAAAAAAGGAAAATTTGTACTTCTTTCTTCCAAATATGTGCTTTCATGTTCGTTGATAGTTTTAAGGTATTAACAAATTTCCATAATAGATAACTTTTAAGGCAATTTTTTTCAATGTCTATTCTAGTTCCTCTTACACTCTTACAGGTAAAGTTTGCCGAAAATCCCCATAAAACATGTCATGTGTCATGTTGGATACACATGGGAAAGAAACTACGTTTGTTTAGCTCAGTTTTTATACAACGAAGACTTAATTTAGTTGTATATCTAGTTTAGAAGTTACAGTTATCTCCCACTTTTTCAAATAGCTCTGGATGACACTTTGAAATTTTTTGAGAATTTACAGGTTTCTTCAATATAAATACAAGTTACGGTTAGGATCTTAAGTTTCTTAAATAATGGTTTGCATGATGTAAGTGAGTCCACATGACATATAGCACGTATACATCGTTTCTGAGCAATTGTGCGTTTTCGATATGTACCGAGTTGCCCCATACCAATATACCATAGCGTACACTGCACCAACATACGCATGATACGCCTGCCTAATTGTTAGGCTAGATATCGCCAGAGAGCATAAGCAAACTTAGCAAGCTTCTTGCATACCTTATGTACATGATTAACTTTTCGTCTATAACTATACCGAGAAAAGTCATTTTATCAGTTTGTTCAAGTTGTTGGTCTTTGTAAGTTATTTTCAAATTTATGTTTTTCCATTTTTTGTTGCAAAATTGGATGTACTTAGTTTTTGTTATATTAGGTTTTAAGTTATTATTCTCCATCCATCTCATGACTTTGTTGACAGTGTAATTTATTTCTTGGTTTTAATATTAGTTATTCTTTGATATTATGACTGACGCATCATCTGCGATAAGTATGTAAGGATAATTTGTGACTTCCATTAGGTCATTAATGTATAATAGGAATAGTAGAGGACCTTAAATACCACCTTGAGGAACGCCTGTGTAATTGCGACCCAAGTTAATTTATATACAATTTCGCTTTGTTTAGTTTTATCTACGTTGATTTCTACAAATTGCACTTAATCGTTTTGTAAGATAACTTTTTATTCATCCGTTTGTGCTTTATGCATTCCATATTATTCACATTTTTTCAGGAGTAAATCATGAGAAACAAAATCGAAGGCCTTAGACATCATTATCATGCATAAAAAGGAAATTTGGCCCCACATAGTCCGCGTATAGTATCACGTGAGGTTCTAAGCACTCACGAATGTACCTTTCATCATTTAATGTTGGCATCCGTGGTCCTGTAACAACCTCAAGTTGAGTTTTGCCGCTCGCGGATATACCTCCCCAGACCGCCATAAGCAACCCTCTTTCTGCCATCATTGCCATGTACACAATTTTAGTCATCAGAAAAGAGTACACGGCTCCAACATTTCTGTATCCAATTTAAATGACTGCGTGCGAAATGAAGGGTTCGGTGGTCTCGCGTTAGTTTGGCTCATTAGCTGACTTATGTGGTATTATATCGCGTTCTTTTAAATTAAGTTGAGCTTCGATGGTTGTGTCCAGCCTGAATAAGTGCCACACCTTGGGCGGCGACTTCAGGTGAAATATCCATAGATTATTGATAGAACCTCACCTTTATGTTAAGAATAAGTAATGTTTGTTGCAAAACCAAAGAAATCAATCACTTTTTCAAGAATTTAATCCAAATAAACCAACAAAATCAAGTTTTTGGTATCAACAAAGAGGCTCCAAATTGCCTTTTGTTTCTTTAAATTCTATGTGCGAAATCAAAAAAACACTATTAAATGAAATTGTGAATGTGCCAGGTTTAAAACTGCATTAACACTTTTTGTCCGACCTACTATAACATTTTAGCTCGGACCAAACGAAACTGAAAACACAAGATGGGCCAATAGATGTGTCCACAAGTGTAGCTCCACGGATGGCCTGAATACATTTCTTTTGTGAAATGAACGCCCCACTCATATCCGTAAAGTTACCAAACGAAATGAGCAAAACTTATATGACCGTGGGCTAGTAAACCTTCTTTTTTTAATAGTACATTTTTTGTGCGAAGACACACACTTGCTATTTGGGCCTTCCGTAAAATATTAATAACATTCATAGAAATTTTATTGCATACAATAAAATTTAAAAAAATATTTGTTTCATAGTTAGACCCACCCTGTGTCAGTTTTACCATGATACCAAAACGTTTGCGTAAAAACAACACAATTGTATGGTCAACAGAGACAAACGCGGTCGTCATATCAAAGTGTATTGCGCATACCTGCGTCCTATTACTGAAGTACTAGGGACGTGAGTAGAAACATGTAGTGTACTCACTGGCCACGGCGATGAACTGGTCGTGCAGCGCGCGCGTCAGGAGCGGGTCGGGCAGCGCGCGCAGGTAGCTCTTGAGCGCGCTCGTCAGCGTCTTGGTCTCCCAGGCCAAGGGGTCGTCCAGCGCGGGCACGCGGCCCGCCGCCGCCGCCGCCACCAGGCGCGCCACCTTGGACGCCACGCCTGCCACGCGGTACAGGCCCTGCTCCTCCAGGCCGCGCGCCTCCAGCGCCGCCAGCACGCGGCGCACGAAGGCGAAGCCCGCGTCGTCCAGCGCCAGCGCGGGGTCGGGCGCGGGCGGCGCGGCGCGCGGCGCGGGCGCGGGCGCGGCGGCCAGCGCGCGCAGCCAGGCGGCGCGGTCGCGCTCGCCCAGCGCCTGCAGCGTGAGCGCGGCGTCGCGCTCGGCCGACAGCGCCTCCCAGCAGAAGCGGCGCTCCACGGGCTCGGCGCAGGCGCGCGCGCCGCTCACGACCAGCTCGTCCGTGGCGCCCGACGTCTTGACGTTCATCTGGTTGTAGGGCGTGAGCGCGAGGCGGCGCGCGCCGTGCTCGTACGTGCAGTACTGCTTGCTCCACGTCGTCGTGCCGAACGCCTCTGCGGACACACTGAGCGTCACGCCCGGCGCGCCGCGTCACGCCCGGCGCGGCGTGCCTACTGCTGCGCGTTACCGGCCGCATATTTCATTCGCGTAATTCATTTCCCATGCTTCGTTACCATATCAATTAATTTAATTGATTTTGCTGTGAAAGTGTGTACTTATATTCGGGAACAGCAAATCGATCGTAGCGCTCGACGCGGCAGAAATGTGAATTAATTCTGGACTGTCATGTGTGAAATTGCTTTATTTTCATAACTTACTTTATAATCTTTCTAAAATAAAATAAATTTCGTTAAAAAACTAGTCGAAAATCAATCTCACAAAAATATCTTATCATCTAGTTGACATGATTTGGATTTGACGGATGACAAGTCCTGAACAGTTACGGCCACTAGGGGCGCTGTCATCGCGCACACAACGAATAGGGCAGTAAGTATATTGTGTTTTGAAATGATTGAGTGCTTCTACTGTTGTAATGTGTTAGATGAAACACGGTAAAGTCACAAAACTGGTTATTGTGTGTGTTACAGAGCGGGCAGGGCGGGCTGTGTACACTGTGGCGAGCGTCCACTGGCTGGGCAACGCGGGCCGGACGTGGACGGGACAGGAGCCCGCACTGGCTACATGCGTGGCTCGGGGGAGTTAACAGGCGGGGCGCGGGACGACTCACTCTTCTCCATGAGGAACAGGTACCCGGCGCGCGACAGGCCGCCGGCCGCGTCCTCGGGCGCCGCGTCCTCCTCCTTGCTCTGCGCACACACACACGTTACACTCGCGCCACACAGAGGGCAGCACTCGGCACTGGCCGTACGCCACAGCGGCACTCACCATCTGCCGCAGCTCCATCATCTTCTTCATCAACGACTCGGTCTGCTTGCTCATCTCCTCGAAGTTGCCGCGCGTCTGCAAGCGCCGCGGGTTAGTGGGGGCCACACACACACACACACACACACACACACGACACACACAGCACACACTCACCCGCTGGATGCGCAGCTGGAGGTCCTTGACGCGCGGCTCGGCGTCGGCGTGCACGTCGTGCGCGGTGTGGTGGAAGGTCCACCAGCCGAACACGAAGCCCAGCAGCGTCTCCACCAGCTCGAACTTCTTGCGCTCCTGCACGGCCTGCAGCTGGAACACGTACTCCAGCGACGCCTGGCAGAAGTCGCGCTCCGCCATGTCCATGGCCGCGTCCGCCTGCGCACGCGACCTTTGTGTCTCACTCGCGGTTGAACTAAAGGGCTTCACTTTATACATACGTGGCAATATGTGCCGCAGGCTACTTTTTGTCTGTTTCTAACTCGCCACTTCCCTAAAATGGTCGGCGGGGGTTTGTATGCAACGCCCAGCTATTTTCAAAGGACAAAGCTAAAAATCGGTGCGCGGACTACTTACTTGTTTGTATGTCTTAAACGTAGTCGTATTTAACGTAAGCAAAGCCGCGGATAAATGCTACTATAAACATATAGCTGAGGTTTTTACATAATAAATTAAATCGTATATAATTTATAACAGTATTAAAAACGTAAAAAGACTTGCTTAATCCGCGTTTTTTTATGATTTATGTTTTTAAGAAACCGCAGCATTACCATCGCCTTTGCCAGCGACACCATACCACAGATAAAATGCAGCTTGTCATATTGCAGCCTAAAAATAATCTCTACCTGTGAATTCATAGTCACAAACTGCCGTTTATAATATTAGTGGGATTCAAAGAATGGCTTTTAGCTGCAGTAGTAAAGGAACTCGTTTCATTAATAATCATATCTAAGTAACAATAGAAGAATTTTCATCAAATGCTGATTCTACAAGAAACTGGTGTTTAAGGTACCTCTTGGAACACGGCCTCCGGTTTCTTGGTGGACAGCGAGAGAGTGCGCTCCTGGCTCTGGCAGAACTTGGCAGTCTTCTTGTCAAACTTCTTCTTGCCCTCCTGTAAGTGTAACACGGGGTGAGTGCGGCGGTGGCGCGGTGCGAGGGCCGGCCCTCACTCAGCGCCTCAGGACTCACCTTGACAGCGCCGATGTGCTCCTTGCGGAAGCGCTCGAGCGGCTGGATGATCTGCTCGTGCGCGCGGCCCAGCTGCAACACACTCTCATATATTCTACATATATTTACGATGGCCGGCCTGACCGAGCGTGGCCCATATCATCAATTAATTAATGAGACTAAAGTTAAAGCTTTCGCATTGCTAGGGGCTCCGGGAGTCGCGTCGTATACTACAGCATCACCTCCTTTTCTAGGTCAGTGAAAATAAAAGAGATGCTACAATGTGTATCAGAAAACGGTATCTTTATGATTAACATACATTTAAAAATATTTCTAAGCTCCGGCAGGACGGTGACATCAGTGATTGGGAGCAGTTTCACTTTCTGCGGCGAGGCCGGCCTCATTGGCAGGCGGCGCGGCGCGCGGCGCGCGGCCGACTGAAGGTCGCCGCACTCGCCGCCGCTTGTTTACCAACAAACTACGCTCTCTACGGCCCACTCTTCCCCAAATACATATTCAACTTACTATAATGTATTAAGCGTAACCTTTAAACGGCGCAATACCTTATATATGTATAGTAGGTACACAACGGAAACCCTTATACTTATTATTGTATGTGATGATATGAGCAGTGATCGGACTAGGTAGCCATTTTCCCGGAAGGTAATTCCGGTATTTCCGGATTCAATTTAATATTATTCATGTTGAGTGATATTATTCCTACTCAATTAAAAATTTAAAGGAAAGTATCAAAACTAAATTAATTCTTTATTTATCTGTTGAATAATAAAACAATCTAATTCCGATCGAAGCTTTAATTTTTTTTTTATTATTTTTTACCTTTTATGGCTAGAACTTTTATAGATATAGACATAAATTGTTTTTAATTTAAATATTTTCATAGTAGTCATCAAAAAAATATGAAGAATAATAAAGAATAATATTGCTTATTTTATTACAATTCCTACCTTTTCTTTAAGTATGGCAAATCATCAAATGACTCCTTCCACTCTGGCAGAATAAAATTCCTACATAAGTTCCGGTTTTTTTTAATAATCTACCATGTCCGGAGGAATGTCCATATTAATTTTATTTATTTTAATTTATTAAATAAATTAATATACTTATACGTTTCGGATCAATGATCCCGTTTCAATCTACCTACTCCGATCACTGGTTATGCATATACTTATTTCATTATATATGAGTACTGGATAGAATGAACACTGACCATTCGGTCCCGCTCGTCCTCGATGGTGCGGATGAGCGTGGCGAAGTGGTGCAGCGAGTGGCTGATGACGCGCTCGTCCTCCGTCATGGAGGCGCCGATGCACGCGAACTCGAACTGCTCCATGCTGGTGGCCAGCGCCAGCTGCGCCGCCCCCAGCCCTGCGCACACCCTCACACATTACCTACTGCACTCGCACATATACCACTATATGTATAGGGCAAAGTATACAACTACGTCTTCTAAATCTTGGAAAGTTATGCAGTGTGCAGTAGACAGATCCTGCCGGTGTAGTGGCAGAGCACGTGCGCACTATGTGTCACACTGCTGCGTCGTACCGCGTGACTCATTCGAGTAGACGGTGGCGCAGCTTGTGGCGGCCGCGCGCTCTGCCTCTAGTGGGCTATCGCGAGACTTGTTGACAATGCTTGTGCTATTTATACGTATACCTGCCTCTGGAAAAGTACGGCTAATGTATTGTGTCAAGTATGTATCATACCAGTGGGTACTTGTAATTACAATAGGTACACAGGTCTATCTTTATAGCTGGGCCTCGCTCCCTAGCAAGCGTGCGTGCGCTACGACCGATTTCTCAAGGACAAGATTAGCAAGAATGCAGATAATAGCACATAAGTCTGATATAACGATATTCTGTAGATAGTGGCGACGAGGACGATGACGGCGCCGCGGGCGCTCCAATGTCGCTATCAGCGCCGTTATCGCGCGCGCGGCCCGACACTCCGGCTCTAACCGTGCTTCGTACGTCCGCAGGGCCAGCCCGCTCATACAGCGACCAGAGCAGTCGCTTCAGACGCTAAATCCTAGAGGGCGCCTAAATGCACAAAACTTAAATAATCGACAACTTCTAAAACTATACATTCGAGAAGTTATCAATATTATATTACTTTTATACTACAAAGATCCTAGTCGACCCTCGACGGTATTGCAAGTGGTTTTTGTTTGATATCTACTAGGTACTAGAGTTAGATAATTCCAGAGTAAGATCTTGGCCTTCCATGCATACTTTGCAATCACAATTGGCGCAAACAAGACAAACGCCATTATTGGATCTAGCTTCATTCTATCGAGCCGGCACTGTGCGTACGGTATGGCGCGAGGCGACCAGGTTTACCACAAAAATACTATGTGCCTAGTAGCTCAATTACTAATAGACAGCACACCAGGCCATACTGTACACAAATATTTTTATACCAATTATTCTTAATTATCTGGGTAAGAACTACCACTTCAGTTTGTAATAATTCAGTATACTACAAGAAAAGGTAAGAGAGAAAGAAATGAATTTATTTGGTGTCAAGCATTAAAAGTAATAAGTATAAAAATCAAGAAAGTAATCCCCTACTTACTTCTAACTTTTATTTATATATAGACTATATTTGTAAATGTACAGAAAGATTATGCTTCAGTATTTTATAACATACTCTTATAAGAAATTACAAAAATCCTAATTTGCTGCCTTGCTTCTTGTGTACAAGACCTAAGAACTCCTAGAGCTAGGAATGCATTAGATATGTATATCTAATGCATTCCTAGGTCTAGGAGTTCCAGGTTGCAGCTGAGTGTTGTATGTCAACTAGTCAGTCAGTCAGCCAGGAGCTCATAAATGAGAGCAGGAATATGTTTAATCCTAATTTATATAAATACACTAGTGGTAGTAGTCTTGCCCATAAAGTCCTTGTTTACATAGTTAACACATACTGGCCCCTTCCCCTCTTCCTTCACACAGTACTAGGCAGTATCTACTGATTCAGTACAAATTAAAGGATCCTATCAATCCAAGTGTCCTTGTCATGAATCACAGTAACATTACTATTTTTAGTTTATTAATTTCTAAGTATTTATATATTATATAAACTAAATATGTCAATTACGTATATATGCTTTTCTAATCTATGTATATTACGCATGTAATTTCTTAAATAATATATTTTGTGCATTCATATACTGATGATGATGAGATGAAAATAATATTTATTGGTGTGATAAATATACAATCTGATAATATTTATTAAGTATTTGCAAACTGAGGATTACCTTCATTTAGTCAACACTCAATTCACTCAGAAGTTGCCTGTGCTAATTATTTTTGTTACAAATTCAGCCACACTTGTACCTTATGTTTAACCAACTTCATTACAAATGTAATTCTTCTAATGCTGTCTACAGCACTGACAGCATGATATGCCTAGTGAGGAGGAAGTTGGGAATGAGCACTACTTTAATGATTTAAATCCCACTTAACATAAATCATATTGAATTAATATATTGAAAAGTTGGCCACAATCATAAAATCATTGAACAATATTTGGGGCAACAGAGCTCAACATACACTTGATGTATATCCAATATATAAATATGTATCAATGTACAACTGTGTGCAGCTGCGTGTTGCATGTGGACAGTGCAGTCACACTAATTAACAAAGTCATTGACACACTTACAGCACTCTCAGCGTGACTCACTGCAGCACTCCACATGCTGGCAACACCAACTACTGCACGGTGCCCTCAACATCACAGTGTAAACACACTAACGTTGCAAGGGCTTTGTTGTTATGTACACTGTACTAGACGCTGATTAGCTGTTATCACCAGACAATTACTGTCAGTGTTTAAACATTACCTACTTATGATGACTACATCCAGAGTGAAGGAATGCTGACATGATTATGCATATATCAGAATCACTTGTCTCAACTAAATATTATAATAGTGGCATATATTGTTTAAAAAATTTTAGTGGGGCAAGTCCTCAGTAATGTAGAAATCCGCCCCTAAGGCTACCCACTGACCACCATTCCAAACACATGAATCCAACATCACGTTGGAGCACCAATAAGGAGTACTCACTCTTGGCGGCTTGGACCACATCCTTAACTTCCTTTATGAGCCGCTTAATCTGCTGACTGGTGCGTTCCAATTCCTTCTCGTGCCTCTGCAAGTTCTCTCGGAACTGGGGGCTATCCGCGAGACACTCGGTAAACTCGAGCGGCTGCAGGCCCACGCCCATCGTCACCCACTCGCAATCGCGCTTCGCTCACTCGCAGCCTCACGGTCACAACTCCACACACTTTCACCCAGCGAGTTCCGGCGCAGGCATTGCGCCCAGCATCCTGCACTCGTGACCACACGGACGGATACACTTGCGATCTCACCGACAACGCCACAACTACTTCGCTTACACTACACTATCACTAATTGTTGAGCAAAACGAATAAAACGACAGTCTGCTGGAACACTGACAATACTGATTACTGACAATTTATTACTCAAAACTGTCAAAATTGTCAACTCAACTTTTTTTAACACTTAATTGTGACCATAGATAATTTTTTATTATAAATGTTGCCATAACAATTTTTTGTAACGAATGTGAGTCTTAAAATTATTTTATTATAAATCTTAATCAGTTGTTTTACGTATTTTATGATATTTAACACTAGTGTAATTTTTCACAATAATCGTGTATGTATCATACCCTCGCAGCAGGTGGGGATACTTCTGTCACTATGGAGGAAATGTAGATAGATGGAAAGCTGTCTCTATGTCATGGAGGAATGAAACTTACTATTATACAATTTTCTATAGTTTAAGTTAAGCTGTATGTAACTATTAATTGCTGAAATGCGTGAATTACAGTAGCTCGACAACAACAGGGTAAATATAGCTCGACTAACTTTAATTTGTCACCAACTGCTACATTCCATAGGTACTATTGGCTGCAGCTAGCAACACTCTTAACTGTTAATGACCTTGTGCAGCTGAATACTAGGTACTTATTTAAAGTATCCCCCATGTAAGGCAATTCCCCATACTTTATCTGCAACTCACCCTCATATTTTTACTACGTAATTAATAGGCAAATCCTCATAGTGTTCACACATAGTTTGTTATAGGTACTGCTATCGAGGGAATACGGGTGAGGGGATATGATAAATCAGAAACAGTCTAAGTAGTAGATTCTTCTGCTTCCATTCGATTCGAGATGAATTTAGATAAAACTAACGAAGATTTAAAGAACAATAAAAGGTGCTACCGGAGATCGCGTGGGAGATCGCCTCTCGAGTATGTCAGCTCATCGCTCAGCACACCTTCCGCACACTTACAGCGGCTGGGCGTGAGGGGGTGGATTCCTCATTAGCTCTGCTTCTTTTATAGCTACTCCAACGAAGGAGTCATGTTAGCAATCCATTGGTTTGGTTGTGTGTGTGACTAATTTTATAAAACTTTTTGGTATGGTATGAGCTGTGGATCACACAAAGAGTTGTTCCGTGCGGGAAACGAACCCGCGACACGTCGCGCGGCAGCCAGTTGCCCAGCCACCGCGCCAACCGTGCCGTCAAATGTGACTTCTGTGCTAATATGTAGTGAGATGTGGCAAGGGAAAAATCGTAGCTATTTCTAATCGTGGCTATAAATTACATTTGATTTTCGTATTTTAGTCGAGCTATCGCTTTAAACGCTGCTGTTTTTTTCAAATCCCGGGACCCATTACTTTAGTAAGCATGCATGGCTATGCATTAAAGCGGGCGGAATGTATAGCTATGCGTTAAAGTTATACATTCCGCCCGCTTATTGGCCTTGATCAAGCGTGTCCCAACATTCTTCATTTGAACCTTTAGGCTGGCTATATATGATGATGATTATATCTACGTGTTTCTGAACACAAGTATTTTATGTAAACAATCTTACTTGGCGCAACTCAAATGACGCACATTATTTTGTCGTACAACCAGTAGTTGCCAGTTTGCCACTAATTTGACTACAACTGTTAAATACGTTTTTTTTAACCTCGGGTAGGGCGGTGGCAACGGATGTGCCGTACCATGCATTCCACCGTGAGGACCCCAGAGCTGGTCTAAAAGATGACTGAGGTTGGCCATCATATTAAAAAATAGAAAAAAATGGTGTTAAATACTAGTTTACACGTTCCTGACACCACTCACTCAACCTCCATGACTGCAGTTCGTTCGTTCAAGGCAGATATCACAGCAGGCTAGTAAAGTAACAAATCCAGTGAAGAAGGTCATTTGTACAGATCATCAAAATGTTAGCACTACTACTGTGTATAGAGGCTTCCTGCCATTCCTCGTGGCACGCCAACAGAGGTTCGTCAGGAAGGAATACACTTTGTTGTTGAATTCGTTACAGATGATATCACGTTTGCTTTTACACGTCGGCTTCGTGCGGGACCCATTGGAAAATAGGGGAAGGGTAGAAACAATAAAACCAGGCTGACATGTGGGTAGCGAATGTATTGCGGGGCTCAGGGGGCGGGCGCGGGGGCCGCGTCCTCCTCCGACTGCGACTCGGACTCCGAGTCATCGTCGTCGTCGTCGTCGTCGTCATCGTCGTCCTCCTCGTACGACGAGTAGTCCCCGCCTTCAGCCGCGTACCCTAAAAGATACAATTTCTCTTTTCATTTCTTACTTCACAATAAACGGAAATGTTCCAGAAATACACAGTTTTATAGTAAACACATATATGTTTACATGTCGAAAATCACAAAAAGTAAGATCAAACTGGTTGTATATTGTGACAAAAATATTCTTTTGAAAGATCTAAATAAGTTAGCGGATTGTGGATTATCAATATACCAATATCGTTTTCCAAAGATTATGCACAATATTATCGTGTGGACCACCAATGAAATAAGCAAATAGTAGTTAGTTTGTAATAAGGTTAGGAGACCTGCGGAGTAGCCGCCGGCGCGGTCGTCGTCCCCGTCGTCCCCGTCGTAGTGCGCGACGGGCTGGCGGCCGTAGCGGTGCGAGCGCGTGGACATGGCGAGGTCGCTGGTGACGTGCGTGGCGTAGGCGCAGCGCGGGCAGGGCGGCGGGCCGCGGCCGGCCGGGCGCGCGCCGCGCCGCCTCACGTGCTCCTCGCAGAAGCACGTCTTGCAGCGCAGGCACGAGTACTGGCCCAGCCGGTTGCACGACTGGCCTGCACCACGCATACATCATCTTATATCTCATTTTTCCCATTGGAGAGTTCATTTTCCAATTAAGCCTTTGACTACCGACAGAAAACTATAGCAAATATGTACTCTGTATTTTTGGTCTCGTAAAGGCTTTTTCCAATGTCTTAGAATGCAGTCACATAGAGTCTAGCAAATGCAAGTACTCCCATTTAACTACTATTTCCCCCAAGCTCCTTCGATAGTGCGCGCCGAGGTCGTTGAAGGATAGTTTTTACTAAATTATTTACTGAATACCGGAGATATTACGAAACTATTTTATAAGATAATGACGTTAAAGAAAAAATATAAAAGTAAATACAAAACTGTTTTTAAAACGTCTGACTCTAGAAATCGTTCTCAATTATATAAACGACAATGTATTGTGCAGACATACTATGGCGGTAAGTAAAAAAAGTCGCTATGCTTACACTTGTAGGTCTCGGCCTCGAGGACCTGGCAGGAGGCCTGGTGCTCGAACTGGTCGTCCTCGCAGAGGAACCCCTGGCAGAAGCAGCAGCGGAACACGCGCCCGCCGTGCTCCCATACGCCTGCGACACACACTGCTACAGACCACTTGCTAGCACGCAACCAACGTTCTACCACTATTACCTAAACTGTCTTTTGATTTACTATTCTTTCTTTGAATGTTTATTCATTAATATAAAAAAGTCTTAATATAATGTGTCACGTTACACAAATCATGATTGTAGTGTGATATTGCATTTTATTGCAAAGTTCAAATAAGCACATGAGTGGGAGATCAATGTCGAAACGAAACCAACAATCAAACATAATGAAGTTTCCAAGACTAGCCCCGAGTCCGGCCTGAAAATAAATAACGAATAATGGCATATTCTATTGCTTTCTTATGTATACCTCTCTCACACTCGAGACACACGGCGTCCATCAGTGGGCAGGTGCAGGCATGCGCAGTCAGACACTTGCGGCCGTGGCATACCCACGCCTCGCAGAAATCACAGATGGCTCCCTGTACACAGAGCAATGGGGCTGATGAATAAGTTTGTAACTAAGACAGAGTTAAGTTTTTATTCTTGGAAGCTTAAACTTAAAACTGAATTTAATATTGGCTTTAACTAGGATTTCTTCCAGTGTTGTGATGAGTTTAGAAACAGCACAATCACATGCACATCACACCTTGCCCGAAAAAGGCTGCACAAAACCTCATTACACTGCACCAACTATATGGTTAATAAATCATATAATTTATTTTGGTGACAGTATTTAGGTATAGTACTGCATTTTGAGATCAATGAAGTTTTTCACTATATGTATGTATAAGTGCACGGAGTAAAAACAAAGAGGAGACGTCATAATGAGATTTCCCTAAGAAACACCGCGTGATATTTTGCGGGGTGAGGGGGGTATTACACTCCGCCCATTTTTTATTTGCCATCTGCCGGTCTATAGCAAGACTACCCTCTCATTCAATTTACTTCGTTTTGTAGTTATGTAACTATTTCACAATAGATGTCACTAAATGCAAAATGCAACAGGGTCGTACTTAGAATTACCGGGGAGTTATTTTTTAAATACCTTTGCGAATCATCTTCATACATATATTTTTATCGAAATAGTAATATTATTATTAGTGAATGAGGATCATTCTACATTTATCAAAACCATTTTATTGTAACATCTTTTTCATTTATAAGGGGTTATTCCGTTAAGGGCGTAGCCTGAAGCAGAAACTCGTATACTATGCTACCAAGAGGCTGATGCCCTGCTGATAGCTGGTTCTTTGTGATGACGAGTTTTATTATTAGATATGTCATTACTGTACTAATGTGTAACTCGGAACGGCATATGCGTTTAGACTAGTGCCATCTTCAAACATATGATTCAGGGATTCGTCGACGGAATAAAAGACTTCATGTGTATCTACAAGGGAAAAGATTGTTCATTATTATGTTCATTTAATCAAACAAAAAAATGATTGAAATCGTTTGCTATGTAAAAGTCCAAATGAGTCAAATGATATATTATTGAAAATTAATAGCATTAAGTAATATAAATGTTCTTCGGGGCTATTGTCTAATAGTGCGTTCTCTGAACTAATCGTTCCTGCAATTCTGAAGAATATTCCGAAAAACACATTCAATCAACTCATCTATAGATTGCGCAATTGTATAAAAAACATTCGGTAAAATGACCTATCCGTCGGTACTGTCGATTAATATTTTGCAATGTTATAAATGCGAAAGTAACTCTGTCTGTCTTTTCTTCACGCCTAAACTACTGAACCTATTTGAGTGAAATTTGGTACAGACGTAGTTTGGAACCCGAGAAAGGACATAGGATAGTTTTTAAATCCAAAATCTACAGAAAGTCACTATTCTACGCGAACAAAGTCGCTAAGCTAGTTTCTAATAATTGTTTTGAAAACTCATGGGCAGTTGCATCATTACGTAGCTGAATACACATTATTACTAAAGTTCAGTGTCAATTTTCGTATATATCCCCAAATAACTGATGACTTCAATAAGTTTTTCATCAGCAGGAGTTGATCGAGGAATGACAGGCAATGTTTGACAAAAGCCCCCTGACAGCAAGTTCAGAGCACCACCAAAAACCTGTTCAGTCCGCGTAAATTTTGCATGGTTCGATTAAATGCTTCTATTGATTTTTTATTCGCCATTGTATGAGTGCATCCCATAAAATAATTGACGTTAGTTGCAAAACTTATGCCATAGCAGAATTTCCCGAAATATTACAAGTTACACTTTAATTCACCTGTACATTCAATAGCAATGCTAATGAAGAGTGTGCGGTCCTACCACCTTGTAATAATGTAGCAGCAATCGTCTTAATAATGCCACTTGATTTGCATTACGTGTTCGCCGGTTTTACCTCAACAATATTTTGGAACAATAACGAACATTACATCTAATAAACTAGTGGTATGTTAAATGCTATTCCAAAGTTAATAATACTGCCAGATTCTCCATATATAACACATCCTAATTATCTTCACGACTGTCATAGGTACTACTTACCATGAAAAACGAACAAAACCTGCCCTAATGTGACGACATATTTCGAAATAAACGAAGAATGGAACGAAAGATATGTACGAAGGACAGAGTGTGTTGTGGGCATTTCATAGGCTTACTGGCGATACATATCTGAGTTGTATGACCAAAGTCCCGATGCCCTTAATTTGGGGTTGAAATGAAAACCGAAGAGGAACTTTAGAAGTATAAATAAAATCGTTCAGTTTCAAACACTCACGCACTACGATTTAGCACTCACAGCGTGCGGTGAGGTGCGCTAAATTTATTCAATTCGCGACTTAAATAAATCAACGATATAAACCTTAAAAAGTAATTGACTCCTAATTACTGCCCTGGCTTTATTTATGTTTTACTACTTGACAATAGATGGCTGTCTGTTTATAAAATGATATAAAAGTTACATAAATAATATTTTGGCGATTAAAGGATCTTTAGGAATGCATGTCGATCAAATTACTATACCAACGATCATTAAAATATACTAATACTGAACTATGCGTACCTATAAAAATTTTGTTTCTATGATACAAAGTGTCGACATCTAGTGTCGCGTAGATTGATAATTGGAAACGCTGACAATAAGAGACTTTGCTAGAACTATTTTAATAAATGACGAATAAAATAACTTATACAAGAAAAGTGATGCCATCCATAGCACCGTAACGTTTATCATAGTATTTTTTACGATAAAACACAAGATTTAATTTTGTTTTCTTCTGTGACGAGTAAAATGAATATTATATCGAAGTTGTGCACAGGATGAACGACCACATTACACTGACGTAAGCCACGCCCACCTTGATGACGTGAGGGCCGACTTGTGTCACAGGGCCGAGTTGTTTAGGCCGTCTCCTCTTTGTTCTTACTCCGTGTATAAGTGATGGACACAATGATATTTCTACAAGTTACTGAGTTGCATTATAGATTGTGTTACTATGCAAAGTTTGTCCACGCACCACCATGCCCAGCCCTGTAGTGAAGACCCCCGGGTGACGCACAACGCAGTCTCCAGACTTCAGCATACACTTCACTTTGCCACAGTGCGCACAAGTTGGCAGACGCTGCACTGCCTGGCAGAAGTAGCAGAATGCCCGATTCTTCTGTTTCCTGTAATACAAGTCACCATATAACCTCATTTGTGTATTTAAAACAATATTTTCAACAATGGTTACAGATTGGCATATTTGTTTGGCTTACAACAGATCAGAGACTGACTGCTGATCCATAGGGGGCAAGCAGAGATTAGGACAGTGTAGTAAATGGCAACCATTTTAAATATATACAACAATTGTTTAGAACAGTCAGTAGCTCAAAAATATGAGGCACTAAAATGTTCACTTCAGTTTTATATATTACTTCAATAATGAAATCACAAGTTCTGGTTTCTATATTGTGACTATCCAGCCACCATCACACTGTCATAACAGTTTGGGTTTGGATTGAATTGTATGAAATTTTACTGAATAAATCATGACAATAACTTGTGTCTGTGTGCCTGTGTGTATACATGATCATCAACAGCCTGTGAAGGTGCAACGCTGGACTATGTCTCTGCTTTAAATGAGATTTGGCTACAATTAGATTGGCTACAACCTCCAGTCCTTGGCAGGACTGACCGAGACTGCTGCTGCCCATGTCTATTAAATGTGTAGTAACTAAGGCGGTCCTCAGCCTTCAAACTCTTACGTCGTGAAGCGAGTTACTGAGAGCTGAGAGTTGGAGCAGCAAATGGTCAAAAATATTCAACTCTACCGTAGCTACCCCACGACCTCTGCACAAAGTAAATGTAATGTAAACAAATAAGTACTTCTGGCATTTATCACACTCCATAGGTATGTTGCACGGATGGGCAGCCAAGTCCACGTTCTCTCGTGCATTCCGAATCTCTTTTTGTCGTAATTTTTGTTTTTCTGCTTTCTTTCGTTGACCTGTTTTCTTTTTGGGCATTTTATATATTAGTGTGATTGAAATACAGTTGAAAATAGAAATATATACTTTGTATCAGATCTAATTACTAAAAATCTGCTGTGATTGATGTGTAAAACTGTAAGTCAGTCAGCAGTACTGTGCTAAAAACACTGATGACACGATTTTGACAAGTGACATAAGATGGTGACATTGACAGTGACATTTTAAAGTATTTATGGTTCATGGCGAAATTAAATCTACTTTTCAATGGTCTAAGTTCAATCCCTTCAATACATAATATACATAAAAGTATAATTCCTTCATGTGTCTAAACCCTATGGTTCGACAGGAGGCTGAATTATAGAAAAAAAAAACCTATGCTTGATTCCGAATTAGCTAATTATGATGTCTGAGACTCTAAGCTATGAGCATATTTCTTGGTCATTGTAAATGGTCTTACGTATACTAATACTAATCGTAAAAACAACAACTACAACAATCATCACGTTAAAATTTAGGACAACAGACTTAACACTCATACACATTTATAATAATTTACAATACTTCAGATTTTTCCACTTGTAATCCAACTTAACTCGTGATCTTTCATTTATTGCTTTGAAATTCTAGACTTCTAGGCAAATTAATGAGCTATAATTTGAACGAAAATTCAATGAAATAAATTTAATCAGAATATATTTTTGTTATTTATTAAATAAATAACAAAAATCATCATAATAACAGAAACTGAGGTCTTAATAGTGTTTCCAAACGAGTATAATACTACCAATAGAAAAGAACACACAAGGCCATTTTTTACTAAGTACTAACAAGCGTTCTTATTTTGTCAGAGTAACAGCTGCGCACTTGTTCGACTGCAAATACCTACTTACTATAACAAAACAAGTAGACATCAAAACAAACATTTTTACTTTTTATTCACACGTCCCCGTGCCAGTCCGTTTCTAATGGCACAAGGTGTTAACTTCGTTGGTTTTGTTAATATTTATTAACATAATTTGTTTTCACCCAATGGTGCGCAGTTTGCCGAGTTAAAAATAATAAAGGAAATCGAACGCAGACCGCTTCGAAGAAATTATGATATTTCCCGTCGACTTGGTACGTTGTTTCATTGTTCATTTTAGTACCTATTCATAGTATTCATACGTATTTGTTAAAGTTTATAGTTATTAAGTTACCTACTGGATCAATAATCTTGTGGATCTTCTAGTTCCTATTCAAATGTTAATATTCGAATATCGAAAGTAGGTAACTACGTCAGATAATACAAACTTAATAAATAATTGCATGATATTATAATATCGACGTCGTCGCTGGTTTGTAAAGAAGACTCACTGACCCTGATTTTTAAATTGAATATAACTTGATGCAGTAAGTAGGTACCTAATCCCTGCAGTATGTACCTACTTGTGTACCGACATTGTAGAGCGGAGTCTATCGAGATAACTGTTATTGTAACGCAATAAAATAACATGTATGTTCTATTACATAGTTTGCGGATATCCAAGTTGCGTCTCTTAGGCCGTGTTCCACAAACTTGTATGATCAAGCACCACGTATGTGTCGCTTGATTTATCGGGTAGTCGTATGAAGGCGGTGAAAACTCAGTGGCTATAATGCGCCACAGCATTCTCATAAGAATATTATTAGAAAGGAGGGTGCGTGTGAGAGTTCTGATCAGGTTACCTAGTAAATAAGAAATTTCTTTGACGCGCCAATCGCACCATGATAACGTCTTCGCTCGTCCCTTCGTTCGGATCGGCTCGACCGGAGTGATACCACGGCCTCATAGAAAACCGGCGTGAAACAACCAAAGCGTTGTGTTTCGCCGTATGAGTGAGGTTACCGGAGGCCCAATCCTTCCCCTCCCCAAATCCCTCTCCAATCCCTAAATCTCCCAAATCCCAAAAAAAGTCCCTCTAGAGCTGGCATTACTGTGCCAGATGCAATTGGGACTTTCTGAGAAAAATCCCAATTGCATCTGGCTTCATCATCACGATCGGTTTACCAACACCCAGTACACATTCAGAACTCTGAAATTCTGAAACGATGCAAAGGAAAACGTGACTGTGTGTACGTATAGTGGTGTAATGGTGTTGTACCCTAGTGTTCAGTCAGCGCCCGAAGGAACGAGCGCACTACTGTTTTGATGTGACATTAATTTACCTGTACATTTTTAATTCGAACAGGAGATTGCCGATTTCTTGATAATTTGTTAAAAATTGTGATACGTTATCTATCAAAGGACAATGTACTGAGTTGACAATGACATTGGCCATCGTCCTCCGCCGCTACAATGTCCCAGTCTCAGTGACGTACAACGTGACGAGATGGTGAGTTGGCGATTGTGCGCAGGTGCAGCGGCTGGGGGTGGGGGGGCGGCTGGTGCCGTTTTTCAAGTGCGTGTGCGTGTACTTCGTGGCGCAGGGCGCGGGCGACGGCGCGCCGTCGGCGGGCGCGGCCGCCGCCAAGTGTGCGCCCGTGCTGTGCCTGCTCCTGGTCGTGCTCCTGCAGCACGCCGCGCTGCCCTACCACGAGTGCGTGCCACACACCACATCTCTCGTCTCTCACCTCTCATATAGCTTTAAGCTCTATAGAAGATTGCATTCGTTCCACATGTCTTTTAGCTATTCATATCTTTCTTGTTTCATTTGTTAAAGACAAAAATACATCCTTACGTTTAAAAACAAACAATTCACTAGTCAGATCCAGAGCCGGAACAACAGTCTGTGGACACGTGCGTGAACCCGCGATAAGAAGCGCAGCAGCCAGTTGTCCAGCCACTGCGCCAATCGTATAGTCAAACTTCGTTTATTATCATCGAATTAAAAAAATATTCAGTAAAAAAAATGTTATATCATCGGATCTATACATACATATACATAGTCTGGCCATAAATACTATTACAATTAAAAATATTACATTTTATATTGAATTTGGAATCTGTCATTTTTATATAAGTTTTCATTGTGTTTTCCTCAGAATACAGAACAACTGTATTCTGAGGTGTTTTCTTATTTTAGCGACAATAAATTGTTCAATATTTTGCGATATTAAAATGGAGTGGGGTGATAAGGAGAACCGAATCGCTGTGATTGCATTACACAAAGTGGCTATGGAGCCAAATACAATTTTTAAAACTCTCCACACGCTTGGCATTAGTCAAATGTTTGTGTACCGGGCTATTAATAGGTACAAGGAGACCTCCTCTGTTTGTGACAGAAAAAGATCTGGCCGTCCACGTAGTGTTCGTACGAAAAAGGTGGTCAAAGCAGTAAGGGAAAAAATTCGAAGAAATCCTGTCCGAAAGCAAAAGATTTTATCTCGGGAGATGAAGATAGCACCTAGAACCATGTCGCGTATTTTAAAAGACAACTTAGGACTTGCAGCCTATAAGAGACGCACTGGACATTTTTTAAAGGATAATTTAAAAAAGAATAGGGTGATAAAATCTAAACAACTACTGAAGCGGTAAGCAAAGGGAGGTTCCAGAAAAATTTTGTTTACGGATGAGATTTTTTTTACAATTGAGCAACATTTTTACAAACAATATATCCGTTTTATGCTCAAAGCTCTTAGGAAGCTTCTCAATTAGTCGACAGAGTGCAACGTGGGCATTATCCGACTTCAGTGATGGTTTGGTGGGGTGTTAGCTATGAAGGAGTGGCTGAGCCATACTTTTGCGAAAAAGGTATCAAAACATCGGCACAAGTATTTCAAAATATCATTCTTGAGAAGGTAGTTAAGCCCCTTAACTACACCATGTTCAATAACCAACAATGGTCCTTCCAGCAAGACTCGGCGCCGGGTCATAAAGCTCGGTCCACGCAGTCTTGGTTGGAAACGAACGTTTCCGACTTCATCAGAGCGGAAGTCTGGCCGTCGTCTAGTCCCGATCTTAATCCGCTGGATTATGATTTATGGTCAGTTTTAGAGAGTAGGTCTTGCTCTAAACGTCATGATAATTTGGACTCTCTAAAACAATCCATACGATTGGCAGTGAAGAATTTTCCCATGGAAAGAGTGCGTGCTTCTATTGATAACTGGCCTCAACGTTTAAAGGACTGTAGTGCAGCCAATGGAGACCACTTCGAATAAGCTTTTTATGTTTTAAATTGTTTTATATTTATGTATTAAACTTACATACTGTAAAAGTAATAAATGTTATTTGCAATACAAAAAATATTTTTTTTTATTTGTTACAGTATTTATGGCTAGACTAGGTATATTGCGAAATAAGACAAAAGCATTGCTGAATTGGAGATTGGAGATGAGCCATAACAAAGGAGACTTAGCAAATGTTGACATAACATCTCTATCGCCTTTATCACGGGGAGTGTTCTGAGGAATTGTTCGGTTTGATTCCCGCCGCATCTTTTCGCTATCGTTCCACGCGAAAACATGTTCATCCTCATCACATAGATAGACAACTTTGCGATTTTCGCGTAATTTTCTGCCCCGCACAGCAAAGCTTTGGAATGATCTTCCGGCGGCGGTATTCCCGAACCGATAGGACATTCAAACCTTCAAGAAACGAGCTCTTAAAAGGCCGGCAACGCACCTATGACCCCTCTGGCGTTGTAGGTGTCCATGGGCGGCGCCGATCGCTTACCAACTTACCATCAGGTGATCCGTCTGCTCGTTTGCCTCCTATAAAAAAACATGATTACCGCGAGGACGTGGGCACGTCGCGAGTCGGCTGATACCTCGCTACAACTCTATGCCGTTTCTACTGGTTTACTGTCTGAGCTCTCATACTTTTTTCAGAGTGGGTGAAGTCTACAAACGTAAAGCACGCACTGGCCCTGCTGGCCCAGCTACACTTGCTACTGATGCACGAAGCACGCGGGACGGCTCCTTGTGCATTCTTTAAAAAATCCGCCTAGAGCGTTTTCCGTATTTTCTCGACGGCGACGTATTTGATTATGCCCAAAAATATTAGCAATATCACCAAAATTTACTAAAACATCCCTATTCAACCAATGATATATCACCCATTAGGGTTGAAATAAAAAAAAACCTCTGGCTACTACTTAACTTGTAGGGATACCTATCTACTTGGTTAATAAAATATTTTTCCACTTTTTATTTGACTACTTTGTCGGTGTGATTGATATACATGTAGGTATTGGTGTCACAGCTTTCTAGCTCTAACGTTCACTGAGATTATTCGCGGACGGACAGATACGGCGAAACTCCTAGTTGACTACGGAACCCTAATAAGGCAAAACGTCCAGCAACACACGATAGCTTTAGAAACTCTTAAATATTTATTTTTAAGATAATTGCTGTTAGCGGCTACAGAAATCACATCAATGAAATTATCTGTAAAATTCCAACTTTCTACACTTTCTATCAACTTGGTGACAGATAAATAAACAAAGGCGAGTGTTTGTGTAAGCTCTGGTGGTGGGCAGGGGCGCGTACGCGCGGCGCGTGGCGGCGGGGCTGGCGCTGTCGGCGCTGGGGGACGCGCTGCTGGTGTGGCCGCAGCACTTCGTGGCCGGCATGCTGGCCTTCGCGGCCGCGCACGTCTTCTACCTGGCGGCCTTCCGCGGCGGCCGGCGCGCCCTCTGGCTGGGCGCCGCGCTCTACTGCGGCGCGGCCGCCTACCTGCGCGCGCTGGCGCCGCCGGCCGGGCTGCGCGCGCTGGTGCCGCTGTACGCGCTGCTGCTGGCCAGCATGGCGTGGCGCGGCGCGGCGCGGGGCGGCGCGGCTGCGGCGGGCGCGCTGCTGTTCCTGCTGTCCGACGCCATCCTGGGCTACCACCTATTCGGCGCCGCGGTGGCGCACGCGCAGGTGGCAGTCATGTCTACTTACTACCTGGGTCAGCTGGGCATCGCGCTCAGCGCGCTGCAGGAGCGGCCGGGGCCCTGACTGGGCCGCTGCAGGAGCGGCCGGAGCCCCGAATAGGCCGCTACAGGAGCGGCCGGGGCCCTGACTGGGCCGCTACTCCACAATGGCGCCGGTCGCGTAGTTCCTCAACATTTGATCGTCGTGTGCCCGGAGGCCACAGTTAGACATAGGTTTATTTTTGATGAGCGTTTACTTGGGTGTGACAAACCCGCACAAACATTCAACATCCACCTGTTGAATGCGATTAGTCTGTGATATATCTACATTGCGATGAAATATTGTCTTCTCGTAAATCGAGATCGGTACATTATTATGTTCCTGTTAAATTGTGTTCTATAATGTCCTTGCCAGTGAGACGCATGAGCTTCCCAGCAGTAGCGGAGTGAGAGCAGTGACAGCGAGCGTGTGCCAATGTGTAGGGAATGTCGGCAGAGCTAATATACCTCCGAAAGCCGAGCATGAGCGAGCTGGGCCAGCAACAGCTCGAGACTCGAGCACACCGTGTCAGGGTGCCAGTTCCCAGCTAGCAGCTACACAGACACCTCATCACTGTCATGTAGTTGAAGTAGCGAGCTGTTGTTCCCTGGGAGCCACGCCAACGCGGAGATGTATTCACACAGTCTTCCTGAGAGCGTCGCCATTGTTTGTGCCAGTATAGTGTGTGGTCCCGTAAGCGCGGTACCTACTCGGCGTCGCGGCGCCCGGGACGTCTCAGACAAGCCCGTGTGCCTGTTACATATGTTTATTGTTTCCATCATAATTATGTATATTGTTCCTATCCTCAACATGGCGGTAGCTAGATTAGTGCAAGGTCTGCCTGTAGAGCGCTGTAGACTGCACATATGTTTGCGAGACAGTAGACTTACAGTGGCGCCGACCTACACCAAGTAGTAGGAGCCTGACATATCTCCGTAGTCGCTGACTACACACACCCGTGCCTGGCGTACAGGCACCGGCACGGATCTCAAACGCCGACTAGCGCTTGCCCTGAAGTAATAATAAGAGGCGGCGGCGGGGAGTGCAATCCTTGCACACTGGTGGCTCGATGATCCGTGCCGCCCCGCACTGTACGCACAACTAGATATTCAATATGACTATATACCTACTTAGTGTAACATTTCGATGTGATATATATATATTTACACGTTACTATGTGTGTGTGGATAAATAACGTGTTGGTGTCGGGGTGACTCGCGTACATTAGGTCACAGGCCAACATTAGTCTATGTGTTTGCATAGGTACCTACATGTACTTGCACACTGTAGTGCATACTAGAAAAGCCATATAAAGCGATAACAACTTAACGATTTGTTTTATTTAATCTAATGGTTTACTTGAAGATGAAAGGACTCCTAAGTTCCCACCTAGCAGTGCTCTTCCTCTCCACTTGAGTAATCATATTAATAGAGTTATATGCATCTTTGAAACGTATCATAAATTCTTTAGGACTAATACCTACCTTTAATAAAAATTATGTTACACGTTATGTACGAATATAAATTAATTATTTTATACAGCTGTCAGTATAATACATTGGTACTCAACCTTTTTTAAACACTGGCCACAAATACGTTTTAGTCATGGTGTGGCCGCAAGCTAATTAATTGAGGAAAGCCTCGCTCCGGCATGAATGGAGAATGCCCGACCGAAGTGATACCAACCCAACCTCCCTTTCTTCCTCTCCCCTTGCCCTCAAAGGGCCGTCAGCGCCCCTGTGGGGCTTTGGTCTTGCAGGTGTCAGTAGGCGGAGATAATCCTTTACCATCAGGTGTTCGTAAATATATAGTTAACAATTAGGTATTTCTAATTGCAATCGGGCCACTGATATAGCCCCGGCGAGCCACATGCGGCCCGCGGGCCGCAGGTTAAGTATGGCTGGTATAACACATACGACAACGTTTCGGAGTGTTCAAATCAGATCAAAATCCTTAAATTGCTATAAAAAAAAATAAGTGGGCCTTATGAAGTGAAAAAACTATTTTCCGATTGTCCTTCGTCCAAATTACACTTTTTTACCTTTTTTTTACTTGACTAAAATACCTTATCGCTGCTTGCAGGATTTAAACTCTAAATAAACTTAAATCTACCTACCATAATGAAAAAAAGCTTATCGGCGAGGGATTATTTGAGAGGCGATCATTAAATGACTTCGTACAATCAGGATGGGGCGACAGGGAGTGTCAGACTCTTTTGCCTAAAACCATCACGTTTCATTGGCATTCAGTAAATATGGCGCACAATTCGGATCTATTCTGTCGTTTCGCTACGAATGTCTCGACGTTCCGCTGGGTTAGGGAATGATGGCAACTCCGAATGAACCTGGTTTTCTAATGTTTTGTTGCAGGAATTGATGCAGATTGTGCTCGTAACGAGAACATCCTTTGAACATTGTTAGTAATGTACACGTCGAGTGCTTTATACATAGAAAGACAAATTTAGTTTTTATAAAAATATTATATTCTTAGATAAACTTAATATATGTATAACTTAACAACAACGTGTACATAGTGGATGAGTAGTGAGGGTCACTCCCGGCGCAGGTTGTCGAGGCGCGCCTGCAGCTCGGCGTCGGCGTCGCTGAGGCCGGCGCCGCCCCCGCCGCCCGACCCGCCCGCCACCGCCACCGCCGGCGCCGGGGCTTTCGCTGTAACGGGGGAACATTAGCACGGGCACGGTATACATGTACCAAACTATTAAGCGCGGACTGACCTGCGACGGACAGCGAGCCGGTGGCCTGCGGCAGCCCCGACAGCGTGTCGTTGAGCTGCAGGCCCAGCTCGTCCAGGATCTGCGACACCACCTGGTCGCTGCAACCACGAGATATATGTAAGACATAGGACATACAATCAACTAACGGGACTTCGTTCAGTGCCAGTCCCAAATGTGTTATAAGGCTAATGCAATGTATTGTTTAGAACTAGACTTTAGAAGTCAATTTGTGTATCGAGCGAGAAAGTTGCGTCGTGTAATCGGGGCTTTATTGTAAGTATGCAGCAGCGGGGACTGACCTCTCTTCCTCGTCGTCGTCGGCCGCCATGGCCTCGTCGATGGAGTCGCTCATCATCTCCTCCTTCATGTCCATTATCTCTGACTGCTTCTCGAACTCCTGCAATGAGACACGACACGTGAGGCGCGGTCCTACATCTCCCCGGCCAGGGGTGGGACCCTCCCAGTACAGTACCTGCAGTATCTTCTGTATCTGCGGCATGTTGAGCTGCCGGTTCATGGTGGCCATGGCGCGCGTGACGCCGCGCATGGCCTGCGCCATCGTGTTCTGCGACTTGAGCGTCTGGATCTTGAGCGACACGGCCTGAATGTTGGCCTTCATCAGCATAAACTTGCGCACGTAGCGCCGCGTGCGCACCAGATCCTTCGCCATTATCTTCACAGCGTCCTGCTCAACATAACACAAGATTACTATGTAATATTGTATAGTTATATATAAAATAATACATGTATGGTCGCGGCAGCTCCCTTTGTGCTGCAGCCTGACTGTGTGACTCACCATCTGGCCCTCCTTGGCCAGCTTCTTGATGTCATTGATGACCTTCTTCTCCTGTTGCTCCATCTTCATGCGTTCCCTGTCCAGGTCCCGCATGGCCTTGTTGAGAGCGCGCTGGTTCTTGCGCAGCATCTCTTCGGGCGTCATCCGATGTCCGAATAGCCACTCCATTGTGTCGATGTATTACTGGAAGTACAAGTACTCACGTAACACGTGCAGTGGGTACATTATGTAATCTATAAAAAGTTGCAGCTGTTGCTCCAGGAGTTCATAGTTAAAACATGTTTACATTATCAACGCACACAGTAATACCCATTGGTATGAATAGGCTGGCTCGACCAGAGTGATACCATGGCCTCACAGCAAACCCGCGTCAAACAACTACAGTGCTGTATTTCGCCATGTAAGTTAGGCAACTGTAGGCCCCATCCTTATCTACCCACAAGAGGCCAGCATGGGTGGCGCTGATTGCTCACCACCAGGTAATCCGTCTGCTAGATTGCCAACCTATGACAAGAAGTGTAGGAGAGACTTGCTTCGGCCCAAATAGGCCAGCTAATCGCTGACTTGAAGTTATAATGTTATAGACATTTATTAACAAACATTCATATTATCAGTAAGATCAGGTGAATGCACACAGCTATTGTATTATATTACAAATGAGATTTATCTTACATTAGCTGTTTTTGAGAGTTCACATCGTCATGGATGATTGGAAGCGTAATATTTATTTCAACATTATAATATGATGCAATATATACTTTATTCCCTTTTTATTTAAGTAGATATTGACTTCTTATTAAAAGCCCCATCAATGTAAATACCAATAGTAACCCCTCATTACGTCCACTAATGTCCCACAGTATAAGTAATAAGCTTATTTAGTCACTGTTAATATATTTTTGCTTTGTTACAATGTTTTATACAAATTTTCATGATAAATTAAAAGCATTATGTAATTCATGTACCCCAGAGTTGCCCAAAGGGGTTCTAAGTTTTGTTGGAATGTCTACCAGTAATAGACAAAGCAAATTTTTCCAAAAAATCATTACTGGGAATTATGGGAATATACTATGTCTTTGTGTGGTCAGTGGTTGGTCTTTTTGTTGGCAGATGTTTTTTGAATTTATAATTAAATATATTCATTTACATTTTAACTTTTGAACTAATCAAATCCAGTATTTTATGGTGCAGGCTGAGCCTCCTTCAGACTAAGTTACAGTATACAAATATAACTGTAATAGGCTTAGGTTTAGATTTCATTTTTAAGAATTCTAGGGAATTGAATGTGTACTTGGATAGAACAAGCTGATTTATAAGTACTTCTGCAACCATGACATTGGCTTTTTTGTAATACATTTATAGATCAGTTTTCATTTTTAAATTGTAAAATGTAGATTTAATTTTATTTACTGATGAAATGACCAGTGTTTATCTTCAATAGATGACCATGTTCAAAACAATCAAAATATTCAAATCAATATCAAAACTCAGACTCATGGAAAGCGAGTTAATAAACATTGGTAAAGATATCCAGATAGAAATATGATTTACCTTATTAATGTGTAAATAGAGCGGAGGCCTAAAGATATTTGGAGTGATGATTCACCATCCCCAGGTTAAGGTTAATTACTGCCTAGACTCATAAAGATTTATAGTATTTTATCACTTATGACAACAGAGTAGACTTTCTAATTAAAAAAAATGAAACTAAAATCGAAGTACAAACTATAAAGCAAATTATTGAATGTATTCAATTTAATACTGTATTACTGTGTTTACTGACAAAAATGACATTGAGATTGAGGCATAGGTACTAAAAATCTGACAGACAGTGACAAATTCATACACTTCAGACACAGACGTACTACAAAGCAGTAGCAGACCCAATAAGTTTAAAATGTGAAGCCAACGATTCTATAAAAAATATTATCAAATTTCGAACTCTGTATTAGAATAAAAAATGTTATAGGCACTACATTTTTGTTATTTATATTTATAATCGCAACCATAAGAAAATTAATCCACTTTTATTATGTTAATAAAAAAATATTTAGTCATTTAAATCGGACAGTACCTCTGCTCTGATCCCACTAACTTTAGACATACACAAAATAGTTTGGTTTTACAATGGGTCGTTGAACGATTGATGCAGCATGCAGTGATTACTGATGTTCAACTTCTTATTATATAAGGTGATATTTAGTGATTTACCTATGGATGGCGTTCGAGTGTTTTCCTCGTGAATTCGTGATACATTGATCAGAAGCCCTCTCATTCTCTTATTAAACATTTTCAAGGACGTGAGGAGAGAAAATAAAACGTTTTTGAAGTGACAACCGACTCACACAATTTGACACTGACAGTGACAGTCTGTCACAACATTTGAGAAATTGTCCAACTGACTGACTGACTGTATCGTATCGTTCGCAAGAACTCTTCGCTGGCTTTACCATTTGCGATTGTAAATGTAAAAACAATACTCATTTGCATTTTGTGTCAATGCTTATCTACTGTCTCAAATAATAGGAAAGGAAGAAACAGTAACGTTCGTTTTCATAATGAGTGATAACGAGATTGCAGTTATGGAGGTGGATGAAATCCCGCCAAAAGTTTCAAAATCACAAGAATCTCAAGTAGCAACAACTAGTGGTTCTAAATGTACTGCACATTTGCCATGGATAGAGAAGTACCGGCCGATTGTATTCAGTGATATAGTGGGGAATGACGACACAGTGTCGAGGTTAGCGGTCTTCGCCAAATCGGGAAATGCTCCTAATATAATAATCGCCGGGCCGCCAGGTGTTGGCAAAACCACGACAATCCTATGTTTGGCACGCGCCTTGCTCGGCGCCGCTTTCAAAGACGCAGTACTTGAGCTCAATGCATCCAACGACCGAGGCATCGATGTCGTTCGCAACAAGATCAAAATGTTCGCCCAGCAAAAAGTAGGTAACTCCACACATCCACGCTCGTAAAGATACTCACTGATCCTGAATCAGGATCAGTCAGAATCACAATCAGGATCAGTCAGAAATTGATAAACAATAATACCAAGCACATCAGGATTCCTGATGTGCTTGGTATTATTGTTTATCAATTTTCTCATTATATGAAGGTCCACGAAAGGAGTGTGTCTAACCTAAGAAGTAACTACACACACACACACACCATGCGTCCTTAAATAATTATATTCTTTGAATGAATAGCTAAGAAACACTGATTGTTGTTTCAGTACAGTAACAAATAATGCAGAATTGCATGATTTAATATTAATTTCACATCCCAACCAGTGTAAAAGAACAGGTTACATTATTGTTGGTGATGTAGGCAGAAGGTTCCATAACAGTGGGAGTCAGAGCTATCTATAACTCTCAGAGTAAAGTTTAAGGAGATCAACATTATGACCGTACCAAGATGTTTTATTTATGAAAACATGTATGTTAGGAAAAAGCTACAGTTACTTGTAAAGGTATCTGACAAACATGATTATCATACTAGACATAGATTAAGTCAGCCTTTATTTAGATTGGCAAAAGTGCATAAGTATTTCCTGGGATTCTGTGTTAAATGTTATAACAAAATCCCAGGTGAAATTTTAAATCTAAATGAATCTTTAAATTTTTTTTTTTACATTCAAATGTGCCTGTATTAGTCTAATTGAAATAAATGATTTTGACTTTGAAAGCAAATTTTAATTATGTATAAAGAAAAATGTATGTACACTTGCATACTACAAACTAAATGATTATATACAAGATAAAAATGCTTGGAGGCTAGCTGGTCCTACTCTACAGGATGTTAAGAGGAATTTTAGATTTCCATCATTAAATTCTACAGTACACCATGTTGCTAATTGTTGGTGAATTTCAATGTTTTTGTAAATGTGAGTGCCCTGTAACTTATTATAATTAAGTTACAACTTGTAGTAAGTAGTGTAATATGGGTACTTGTGTCAGCTGGGAGTTGTCGTGCTCAATCAGGTCTCATTGGCGGTGGCACAGGCACTGGATTGCTTGATTCCCTATCTATAATATGGTTGAGTTGGGCAGTGCTGGTGTATGTGTCGTGTTTGTGAACGGGTGCCGCCTATTGGGACTGGTCATCTCCAGGCTGTCTAAATATGTTGTCCTTGAGGTTCACTTCTTTTTCGTACTTTTTGCCTAAACATTAGTGTTACATTGTTCTCACATATCAGAAATGATGTAACAAAGAAATGAATTGTAAAACTGATTGAAAAAGAGTAACCATGGTAGTTTCTTGCTAGTTCTCCAAAGGAATCTACACCTTGGAATGAGAAAATAGTTTTACTTCACTAGAGGACAGACTGACACACTTTAAGTTAAAGCTCATGAAATACTTATTTCCTTTTTTTGCTTGACATTCAAAAGTGCCTAGTTTGGTCTAATTGAAATAAATGATTTTGTGTTGACTTTGACTTGGTAGCTGTTAACATTTGGAAACAAGGATAGACAATGATCAGAGATATTATGTAATCCCTGTATGCTTTATGCAATTTGGATAAGCAGTATTTTTACGACAGGTGACCCTTCCACCCGGGAGGCACAAGATGGTGATCCTGGATGAGGCAGATAGCATGACGGAGGGGGCGCAGCAAGCCCTGCGCCGCACCATGGAGCTGTACTCGCACACCACTCGGTTTGCACTGGCTGCCAACAACTCTGAGAAGATCATAGAGCCCATCCAGTCCCGCTGTGCTGTGCTGCGCTACTCTCGCCTTACGGATGCCCAGATCATGGCTAAGGTCAGAAAGGCTTCCTATGTCATGTTGCATGACTGACTCAAAAAGTAATTAATCGTAATTTTGTCAACTAGGTGCTGGAGGTCTGTGAGAAAGAGCAACTATCATACACGGAGGAGGGTGTGAATGCGGTGGTATTCACCGCGCAGGGTGACTTGCGGTCGGCTCTGAACAACCTGCAGTCTACTGCGCAAGGTTTCGGCCACATCAGCGCGGAGCACGTGTTCAAGGTGTGCGACGAGCCCCACCCGATGCTGGTGCGCGCCATGTTGGAGGCCTGCCTGCGCCAGGACATGCACGAGGCGTACAAGGTGATCGCCAAGCTCTGCAAGCTGGGCTACGCGGCCGAGGACATCGTGAGCAACATCTTCCGCGTGTGCAAGACGCTGGACACGGACGAGGCCACGCGCCTGGCGCTGGTGCGCGAGGTGGGCCTGACGCAGCTGCGCGTCGCCGACGGGCTCGCCTCGCCGCTGCAGCTGGCCGGCCTGCTGGCGCGCTGCTGCAGGGCCGCCGCCGCGCACTGACCCTCGCTCCTCACTACTCTTGTCGCGAATACTTATGTCTCATTAAAAAGGAGAGGCCAACCTTCCCCAACAAGAAGTGTTGTTACGAGAGATTTCAATGCATGTTATTTTATGGAAGCTAACATGCAGATGTGATAAATTTGTAAATAGAAATTGTAATTAAGGTCAGTGATAATGAATAAAGAATGTTTGTGAAAGAATATTTATTTAATTATTGACAATGCCTTAAAATATATAATATACAGTGTAAACGGATTGGTCCCGGAGTAGCCGACGGAGTCACCGCGCGAGGATCTCGAGCAGCTTGTTGTGCTCCGTCATGAGGCTCTGCAACAACCGCGACACGTTAGTAGCGCGCCCTTACTGGCACCCCGCGGCCGGCAGGCCGGGGCGGCGCGGTCAGTGCAGCACGCGCTGCTCGTGCACGGGCAGGCCGGGGCGGCGCGGTCAGTGCAGCACGCGCTGCTCGTGCACGGGCACGCCGGGGCGGCGCGGTCAGTGCAGCACGCGCTGCTCGTGCACGGGCACGCCGGGGCGGCGCGGTCAGTGCAGCACGCGCTGCTCGTGCACGGGCACGCCGGGGCGGCGCGGTCAGTGCAGCACGCGCTGCTCGTGCACGGGCACGCCGGGGCGGCGCGGTCAGTGCAGCACGCGCTGCTCGTGCACGGGCAGGCCGGGGCGGCGCGGTCAGTGCAGCACGCGCTGCTCGTGCACGGGCACGCCGGGGCGGCGCGGTCAGTGCAGCACGCGCTGCTCGTGCACGGGCACGCCGGGGCGGCGCGGTCAGTGCAGCACGCGCTGCTCGTGCACGGGCAGGCCGGGGCGGCGCGGTCAGTGCAGCACGCGCTGCTCGTGCACGGGCACGCCGGGGCGGCGCGGTCAGTGCAGCACGCGCTGCTCGTGCACGGGCAGGCCGGGGCGGCGCGGTCAGTGCAGCACGCGCTGCTCGTGCACGGGCACGCCGGGGCGGCGCGGTCAGTGCAGCACGCGCTGCTCGTGCACGGGCAGGCCGGGGCGGCGCGGTCAGTGCAGCACGCGCTGCTCGTGCACGGGCACGCCGGGGCGGCGCGGTCAGTGCAGCACGCGCTGCTCGTGCACGGGCACGCCGGGGCGGCGCGGTCAGTGCAGCACGCGCTGCTCGTGCACGGGCAGGCCGGGGCGGCGCGGTCAGTGCAGCACGCGCTGCTCGTGCACGGGCACGCCGGGGCGGCGCGGTCAGTGCAGCACGCGCTGCTCGTGCACGGGCACGCCGGGGCGGCGCGGTCAGTGCAGCACGCGCTGCTCGTGCACGGGCACGCCGGGGCGGCGCGGTCAGTGCAGCACGCGCTGCTCGTGCACGGGCAGGCCGGGGCGGCGCGGTCAGTGCAGCACGCGCTGCTCGTGCACGGGCACGCCGGGGCGGCGCGGTCAGTGCAGCACGCGCTGCTCGTGCACGGGCACGCCGGGGCGGCGCGGTCAGTGCAGCACGCGCTGCTCGTGCACGGGCAGGCCGGGGCGGCGCGGTCAGTGCAGCACGCGCTGCTCGTGCACGGGCACGCCGGGGCGGCGCGGTCAGTGCAGCACGCGCTGCTCGTGCACGGGCACGCCGGGGCGGCGCGGTCAGTGCAGCACGCGCTGCTCGTGCACGGGCAGGCCGGGGCGGCGCGGTCAGTGCAGCACGCGCTGCTCGTGCACGGGCACGCCGGGGCGGCGCGGTCAGTGCAGCACGCGCTGCTCGTGCACGGGCAGGCCGGGGCGGCGCGGTCAGTGCAGCACGCGCTGCTCGTGCACGGGCACGCCGGGGCGGCGCGGTCAGTGCAGCACGCGCTGCTCGTGCACGGGCACGCCGGCGATCATCCGCTGGTGCTCCTCGCTCAGCGCCTGCACACACACAGTGTCACTCCGCCGCCCCGCCCCTGCCCCCTCCCCCTTCCGCGACTACGTACCTTGAAGTATTTGACGGTCTTGACGCGCAGCTCGAGCGTGGCGTCCTCGTCGCACACGAACAGCGCCTGCGCATGTTGCTGGAAGGCCGACACGGTCCACATGTGGTTCACTCCCTCCTCCACCGCCTTGGCTAGTGCCAGCGACTTGTGCGCGCCCGTGATCAGTATCATTACCTGCATCACAACCAACGTATGACGAGTCTGGCACACGTTAACTACAAGCACGTCGAGAATGGGGTAAGATGTTGAGTTGAGCATCGTTCGAGGAGAGATATACATCTCCACTCGAACTGGCAAATGCCTACCTTACCTAGAAATCCAAACCAATCGACGGAGTCCTCGAGGACTGTTGATGATGATGATCATTTGCATTGGGGACGTGGTAAGTGGACAACGTTGACCGCGCTGACTGCCCACACAGCGGAGAACAACATGTCGAGCGCCAAAACTAGCTATAGGACACTACAAGATTCTTGCAAACCGAAACGTCAGAGGGAAATACTTTTAGATGTTAGAAGGAAGCTAGAACAGTAGCGTACCTCTTTTGCGTCCATGACGGTCCCGACGCCGACGGTGAGCGCCTGGCGCGGCACTTTGCTGATATCGTTGCCGAAGAAGCGCTTGTTGGCCTCGAGCGTGTCGTAGGCCAGCGTCTTGACCCGCGTGCGCGACACGAGCGAGGAGCCTGGCTCGTTGAACGCGATGTGTCCGTCCGGCCCGATGCCTGCACAAAGCGCCCCGGCTGTAATACTGTTCCACTGTGCCTCTGCAGGCAGTACTCACGTCCCATACCTCCAATGAAGAGGTGCACGCCCCCGGCGGCTGCGATGAGGTCTTCGAACCGCTTGCACTCAGCCACGAGGTCCGGCGCGTTGCCGTCCAAGACGTGTGCGTTGCTGGGCTCGATGTCGACGTGCTTGAAGAACTCGTTCCACATATAGTAGTGGTACGACTCCGGGTGGTCCCGCGGCAGCCCTGCCGCAAGCCGAAATAATACATGCATGTACTAAGCGCGACACACTCGTTACTTGCCCTATACTTTCGAGGAATAGACTTAACAGAACTCTGGGACAGGAATCTGTGGGACACGAATGGGCCGACTTGACTCACGAATGGTATACATCAATGACGACCATCATAGACAACCGCAACACCAAAGAAGTTACGATTGAGTTGCCGGACTTTTAGGGATAAGGGTTTAGGATATTTAAGGTTCGGGGGAGGGGGAGGGATTGGGCCTCCGGTAACCTCACTTGCACGGCGAAACACAACGATGTGGTTGTTTCAAATCGGTTTTCTGTGATTCCGAAGCTTGGCTGTCACACACTTAACTATCGTGATTCTTACAAACTTATTGAAAATAACGAGTTATAGGTAGAAGGCTATTATTATTAAAAAAACGCGCGGTTTGCCAGCAGAGGGCGCGTTGGACGGGAAGGCTCGAGTAATCAGTTGGCTGTGCGACGCGCTCGTTGCTCACGAATAAAAGTCCCTTTGTGACTTGAAACTAGTAGAGCTTGTCTCAGTTCATTCACGTGAGTAAGTCGTTAGTACCCAAAGTACCCATCAACACTTGTGTTACCTAAAACTATTCCTCCCCCCCACTTGCAATTCCTCTGACGTTGCAGGCAGCCTTAAACAGCACCGATTGCTAACTGTAAGGTGGTCCGTCTGCTCAATACCATCATAGTAAATAAATAAATCACGTGAGTATTTGCCTAGTCCACAGTTCATGTGTTAGGCTGGCTGGGGTGCAATGTTGCAAGTGTCGAATTCATAGAGAAACAAGTTTAACTTTCGTCGAGATAGGTTGGAGGAAGTGTCGTACTAACCGACGTACTCATCCATGTTGAAGGTGGTGACGTACTTGAAGGAGATCCGTCCCTCCTTGTAGAAGTCGATGAGCCGGCGGTACATGCCGAGCGGCGTGCCCCCGGTGGGCAGCCCCAGCACGAAGTGGCGGCCGGGGCCGGGCGCGAACTGCGTGATGCGCTGCAGCACGAAGCGCGCCGCCCAGTCCGCCACCACGCTGGCGTCCTCCAATATTATCAACCGCATGGCTGTGTCGCGCTACTGCCGCTGCACTATGAAACAATCACCAGATATCATTCAATGTGAAGGACAATGTTCCTATTAGAAAAAAACGCAGAACCATATTAAATATTGTAAGTTGCAAAAAATCGTCCTGTCCTCAGTCAGACTTCTTTGTATTCTATATAACTATATAGCATTGTTATATAGAATACAAATTACTGTATTATATCAGTTTGCACGTTTGTTTTTATGTACATACTTAGTATTATTTAGTAGCGAACGAGAAATTGGTGTCAATTAAAAATATGTTTTCGTATATTATCACATTTAGTTTTTCTTTTGCATGCAAGGTGTTTGGAACCCGCAGCTCCACGCATGAGAAGCGGGCGCAACAAACTTCAGGCCACCAAGACGTTATACATACATACACGTATCTATACACATACAAGAAGTGTAATTAAGACTGCACGGCTGGCGCGGTGGCTGAGCAACTGGCTGTTGCGCAACGTGTCGCGGGTTCGATTGCCGTACAGAACAACTCTTTGTGTGATCTACAAATTGTTGTTTCGGGTCTGGGTGTGATGTGTACGAGAAATTGTATGTTTGTAAACGAGAAGAATGGCAATTCTTTTTTAAATGATTAGATTCACTTCAATTCACCTTATCTATATCTATACTTATAATAAATCTGTAGAGAGGTCAATTCTGTACATAAAATATATTTTCAAAATAACTATCAGGTGGTGATAAGTGATCGATACTGATGCCAAAAATGCAACCAGTAAAATTTTTGTCTGTCTGTATGTTCCTTATAGAAACAAAACGTACTCGACGGATTTTAACAAAACTTGGTACAATTATTCTTTATACTCCTGGGCAGGTTATAGGATACTTTTCATCACGCTATAAATAATAGGAGCAGAGCAGTGAAGGGAAATATTGGGAAAACGGGAGAAGTTACTCCCTTTTTAAAGTTTCAGTCGCGTGTGCAGCCGTGATGGTTAAAATTACATACAAATGATGTATCACGGAAATATTCGACATAAAATTGTGTAATTAATATAATATAATAGGTTTTATGAAATATTTGTAATACTTACTATTAGTTAGATCCATACCATTTTATCAATGGACGGACGGGTACGGAAACCTTATAAGTAATAGGGTATTTACCCATTGGAGATGTACCCATAAAAATGAGACGATTAATAACAAATTTAATTTATACTTTAATTTTGTTCTATTGCTATAGGCTGCACGCGGGTGAAGCCGCTGGCGGAAGCTAGTTATTAAAATAAAGCCAGTCTTGTATCAATCAGTCATTGTACTGATCTCCTGGTATTCCTCCGTAGAGTTATCTTAGGTAGGTATTACTTGATATCGTCTTCAGTAGGTATGAAAGAGTCCCTCTACAACACTGAGTGGCATGCTACAACTAGGTCCTGCCCTACGCGCTACGGACTCGAGCACATCAAGGTACCTGCTTGGACCGAGGAGGAATTAACTAGGGTCTGAGGCACAGAGAAACAGATTGGACATCTGTCAAACTTCTTAAGTACGTACACACCTACTCGTCAATATAAGTATGTTATCAAATTGTTTTGTTTCGTGCGAAGTTTGATGGAGTGGTGTTATGAGTGGTACAGAGTATCGAGAACAAATTTATTAAGAACGAATTAGGCAATAGCGACAAGAAGTACAAAATTATTATTCTATCTCGTCAGAGCGACAGAGGAATTAGGGTAGGACTAAGGATTATTCTGGATTATACAGAACTATGGACATTTAAAAGTTTGCGCATAATATTTAATTTCCAATTGTCTCGAGTCAATTCGCAACTGTTGAGTCTATTGATAACAAGGCATTGCTAATAGTATCATTGAACTGTAAGTAGGTACCTACCGCGCAGTCGCGCTGTATACATCGACTACTTATCTACTTCGTATGATTGGTGTACAAACAAACAGTGGTAATGTGATAAGGTGGCGTCGACCTAAATATCAATAAAAACAGAAATCTGCCCTGTTAGTGTAAATAATACATTTATTACCCGTATAAATATAAATACGGGTAGGGTCCAAGCGCGCGGTGACGCTATCGCTGTGCGGGCTCGTCGTGCCGGACAATGCAATGCCAGCTTAACTTACACGGACGAGGTCAACGCATAACTTACGTTCTAAATGATCCTACGTTATTCGTTGACACTTTCCTTAGCGACACCATCAGTTTTAGTTGTTTTTTAGTATGTGTAGGTATAAGGTACTTTGATCAATTAAATATATAATGCAAGTGGTGACATGTAATTTAGATGGCAGTTGTGTAGCAGGATTGCAGGACCTAGGTACGTGGTGACCGGTGACAGGTCCTAGTTCGAAGTTGTGTCTAAGTATGTGAAACTGTCTATTTTATGGTAGGGACCTTTTAGTTCACAATAACATTTCTTTACATCTCCTCGTGCAGCAGTATAATTGGAGCTTCACTGGCGTTCAAGGTGCCCGAAAATGTTATGCCAAAATTTGGCCTCTGCAAAAAGTCAACAACCTGTACCCGGGCGGTCACTTACCTCTGGCGCGTGAAGGTCAGTGAGGGTGGTGCGAGGAGTAGGGGCTGCGTGCCCAGTGTGTGTGGCGTGGTGCAGTACGTACGGACAGTGCGCGGGCCGGCCAGACAGTAAGCTAGCAATAACAAAACACGGCCGCTTCGCTAACAACGCTACTAACGAGTGATAACGGCGGGCGGTGACTGGCCGGCGCGGCACTACGTCACACTCGGCGCCGTCAATGTCAAATTGCTGGTATGACAGCTGACAGTGACAACGGACAGTGTTGTCGCTGCCGAAAAGCTAATAAACATTGTTGTTATTTGGATGAATGAAATACAAAGACTGATTCCAATAAATGTGTTTTATTTCTAGTACAGTAATACTTATTATCAGGAGATTATGAATACAAGAGGATGAACATTTCCCCTGGCTATGTAGGTATTATCTAGATCTTACAATTACAAGGAAATTGCCGTGCTAGGTTCGCGTGTCACGTATCCATGGTTCCATCTTAATTTATTTTTAAGTCTATGAAACTGTATTCTCGACGCATTGACATCGGAATTGTAAAATAAATAAATAAACTGGATTTTTTTTATTTATCTATGTTAGCAATTATATTCTTAATTTAATTACTAAACGGTTTTAATGTAGGTTTTATTTGTATGTACTGTCTATTTCAATAGCCTGTAACCTTTCTCAATAAATTGTCAATATACATAACACAAAAAGAATTGGTTTAATTCGAACCAGTGTACCTGAGCTTTATTGTATTAGTATAGATGAAACGCTAATTGCCAACCCCTGCGCATTGTGATAGTTCGGTTGAGGATGCGACCTCGGCCAATGTTCACCCGGCGCGCAGTGGTCGTGCATACTGTACATACAATACATCTAATGTACTTAACATTACTTAAAATGAAGTGATCCAAGATGATGTTTAGAGAGTACAACTTTGACTCAATACTCACCCACATTTTGTAATAGATTGTAACATATTAATTATCAGATGTAACAACATGCTACCTATGTATTAATATATAAAAATACCTTTGTAACATAAACATTTAACATTATAAGGAATGGTGACTTTATAGTATTGTAACCTGTAACTGCACAAGTAAGGCAATAAAGCAAGATGTGTAAATACACCAATTTGTCAAAACATGTGATCAGTAAGTTGACACATGTATCTAAGTTATAAAAATGTTATATTATTGCTTTCAATGAAAAATGTATCCAACTAGTTGCTTCAACTAAACTCATACTGCAATCACTGCTGTTCTTGCAATCAGTTGTTGCATTAAAATATGGTTGAATATTTTGAATATAAAAATAAAAGCTACAATAAAGTAAGAGTCGCACCACTGTCCTATAACAGAATACGACTTAAGTTCAGTCGAGTGGGTCGCCTCGGAACAGGGAACGGCGAGGCGATGCAGTAACATAAGGTGCGGAGGCCGGGGGCGCGCCACTAAGTATAGAGGAACTTTCAGTGCGGCGGGGCCAGGTCGGGGCGCGCGCGCTTGGCGGGAGGCTCGCCGTCGCCCCCCCAGTACGCGTACTCCGGCAGCCACTTCAGCAGCTGCGCGTCGAAGAACTCCTCCAGCCGCTTGGCGTCCTTGTAGATGCTGGAGTCGGCCTGCGGGCAGACGGACGGCTGTAGTCAATGCGCTGGGCGCGCGGGCGGCGCGCGAGGACGGACTGACTGACCGGGTTGTAGCGGTACACGTTGCGGAAGAGCAGGCGCACGTCGGCGACGTAGTGCGCCAGATGCGCGTAGCGCTGCGGGCTGCGCGGCTGCAGCTTCATGCGGATGGCGTCCAGGCAGGTGGGCGCGGGCCCGTGCGGCTCGCGCAGCGCCAGGCTGGGCTCGTACTGGCAGTACAGCTCCAGCGTCAGGCGCTCCATGAGGCGCTGCTCGCGCGTCGCGTCGCCCGGCGCCAGCTCCGCGAAGTTGACGCAGAGCAGGCACTGCCACGTCTCCGACTCGCTGCAACAGGCGCTCCGTCAGCCGGGCCCCGCCGCCGGCCGGGCTCGCGGGGTTACTACTCACTCGGGCAGCTTGTCGATGGTGGGGATGTGGCAGTACTGGTGGAACACCTTGGGGCACTTGTCGCAGCACATGAGCTCGCCGCCGTCCATGCAGACGGCGCACCAGTCCTCGTTGGGGTCGCCGGGCCCCGCCTTGGGCTCGTCCGTGGAGGAGTGCACGTGGGGCGCGGGCGAGGGCGCGGGCTCCCCGGCCTCCGCCACCACCTGCACGCCGTTGGAGTCCAGCTTGGCGATGGTGGCCATGAGGTCCTGCACCGACGCGGCGCACACCTTGTCCAGCTCGCCCGGCACGCCGCCGCCCTGCGCGCAACGTACGCACTCACTCACCGATATATTACGAACCACCAGCAACTGATAGGCTGCACTTTCGCCAGGGACTGGCCAGTTGGAATGTGGCGTACTAGCGCTAGACTCACGTTGAGGCTGGGGCTGGGCGTCTTGGGGTTGGTGGAGGTGACGGCGGCCGGGGGCGGGGGGCGCGCGCGGCCCAGCGTGATCTTGTAGTCGGCCGCGCCCTCCTGCGGGATGTGCCACTTGGGCGCGGGCGCGGGGTAGGCGGGGGGCGCGGGCGCGGGGGACGGCGTGCGCGGCCCGCCACTGCGCCGCCCACCGGGCCCCGGCCCGGGCCCTACTCCGGGCCCCGCGCCCCCGCCCCCTCCGTAGCCTGCCACAGAGTACGCGCCCATGACTGTAAATAAAATCATAAAACCTTTTACATCTCAACTCCCAAAACTATTGGAAAACAGACTTCGTTAATAATCTATCGAATTGCAGATACCATTACCATACCATACGAGAATGGCCACTCGTGGCAGCCCGAAGCCTTAGCCTGTCTCTCATGCATGACTTCAAGGTTCGAAACCTGGCAAGTACCAATGTGACTCTTTCTTTACTGTCTATGGTTATTTATAGACCACTGACATACCGCGAAGGAAAACATCGAGAAGAAACCTGGACTTTGTTTTAATATATATAATAAGTTTGAAATCCCCAATTCGCCTTGAGCGAACGTGGTGATTAGTGCTGAAATCGTCATACTATGACGTCATTTTTTGCTATCAATGAAACAAAGAATTTATTTATATAAATAGGTAATAAAACAGCACTTTTATACGCAAACTCATATGTAAAAACTAGATAAAGCCGGTATTCCCTATCTGACTACTCTGAGAAGAAATGCCGAAACCAACTCAGTGGTCAGTCTCTTTTCAAGTCTAGACAATGTAACAAATAATATAGGTAATGTGCGAGAACCATGCAAGTTTATTCTGTAAATGTCTTGAGGAAAGAACCACAGCAGTTTTTTCCCTGGACAAACAAATTGAAAGACTATATACTTAGTGTTTGTTAAGGGTTTAATTGGAATAAACGATGTTGGTTTTGACCTTGACGCTATATCGCTCTCGATATAGAAACGTCTGAGGGTCGTGCTAGTTTTCTGTAGGAGTAGGAAGGCAAGTAGCATACTCACTCTGCTGGTAGGTGTGCATGGCGAACTGAGCGTGCTGCGCGTGCTGAGCGTGCTGGGCGTGCGGGGCGTGCTGGGCGTGCGCGGCGTGCGCGGCGTGGGCCGCGTGCTGCGGCAGCGCGTGCGGCGCCGGCAGGGCGCGCGCGCCGCGCCCCGTCTGCGCGTTGAGCAGGCCGCGCAGGTTCATCTCGTTCATGCCTGCGCAGGGGGCGGGTGAGAGGGCCGCGAGCGCGCGGAGGGCGCGGCGGCGCGGCGGCGCGGCGGGTACTGACCGTGCAGGTGGTGCGGGTGCGTCGTCGACGTCACGTGCGGGTGCCGCAGCGGCGTGTTGCGCGCGCGCAGCCCGTGCTGCTGCAGCGGCAGGAACCCGCCGCCGGGGCCCGCGCCGGGGCCCGCGCCGGGGCCCGCGCCGCCCGGCCCCGCCTGCACGTACGACTGCACCAAACATGTTACACTGCCTGCACTCTACTGCTCGCACACTCACAACACCATTGTATACATAACATGCACACATACTATAGCCCACAGACCTGACATCGAGAACAAACATTATTTGCGAACTTACTGTCTTCTGGAAAGATGTTCAGAAATAGACAGTTAAGTTCTGTCTTTTAAGTTTTGTCTGTTCTTTGTAATGTTTAAGTTTTACAATTGCCGAGTTGGTGGCGCCATGACACAGCGGCATGCAGATAGCTACGAGACACTACGGATGCGACAACACCGAGGGACGACTGACCTGGTAGCGAGCCAACGTCTGAGACATGGAACAACACGCACCGTATATAGTCAGTACACAATCCACAAGTAGGGCACCGGCCGGGGGAGGGGTGGAGAGGGGTATACCTGCTGCATGGCCACGTGCTGGAGCGCCACGACTGCGGAGTGCGGGGGCGCGGCGGGCGCTGATGGCGCGGGGGGCGCGGGCGGATGGTAGGGCCCCTGGGCGGAGGGCGCGGCGGGCGCGCCGTCCAGCTTGCCGTCGACGACGATGGCGCCGAGCGAGCCCAGCACCTTGCACAGCTCGGGCAGCTTGTCGAGCGCCAGCGCGATGCGCACGGGGATCTCGGGGTTGGGGATGTCGGCGCGCCGGCTCTTGATGCGCTGCAGGTGCGCCGTGACGGCACGCTTGGCGTGCAGCACGGCCGTGTCGGAGCCGGCGGCGACGGGCCCGGCCACGAAGGCCACGCAGTGGTCCGTGATGGCGGCCAGCTGCTGCAGCGCCTCCTTCTTCTCGCTCAGCGTGCGCTGCTTGGCATCGCAGACCTCGTTCAGGCGCAGCACCAGCTGCTTGCCGCGCGTGTTGATGGCGTTGGTCAGCCTGCGACACGACTCGGGCTCACGGCGCCGCCCCCAGGGCCGCGCCGCGCGCCCGCCGGTACTTACTTGACGACGGTCTGCGTGATCTCGTGCACGAGCGCCTTCTTCTTGTCGGCGATGAGCTGCTGGCGGTCGCGGATGACCTTCATGGCGGAGCCCAGCAACACTCGCTTGTAGCTCACCTCCGACAGCAGCGCCGATATCTGCGCGCGAGCCTGCAACAGTGGGCGCTGCAGCAACGGTCCCTCCCGCTGTAGCAAGGGGAGGGGGCGGCAGTGCATACCTGCGCCGCCATCTCGGTGCTGAACTGGTACTTGTGGTCGCGGTGGTGCTGCAGCTGGCAGTCGCGACACGTGAGCCGGTCGCAGGTCTCGCAGAACAGCGTCAGCCGCTCCTGGGGGCAGGCCGCCGTGAGCAAGGAGGGGGGCGCGGGGCGCGGGGCCGGCCGGTACAAGTTACCTGCACGTGCTCGCTGCAGAACATGTCGTGGTCGCTGCGCGCGCCGCCCTGCGCCGCCTGCAGCTCGGCCAGCGCCTCGTCCCGCGACTTGATGGTGTGCTCCTTCGTGATCTTCAGCCTGCAAGCGAGCGAATGCAGTTTACTGGAGTAGGCAGAAGGAACGCGGCGGGGCGCGTGCGTACCTCTGGTGCGCGTGTACGCAGTTGTCGCAGATGAACTCGGCGCAGTCGACGCAGTAGCTGGTGGCGGGCTCCGTGTCCTCGCAGCTGTTGCACTGCTGCTCGCCGCCCGCGCCGCCTGCCCGGGGGCCGCACCACTCAATTACGTACTTTCCTCATTTAAATACATTTTTTTCAGCTTTGCATATACATATATATAGTCTGGCCATAAATACTGTTACAATTAAAAATAAACAAAATATTACATTTGAATTTGGAATCTGTCATTTTTATATAATTTTTCATTGTGTTTTCTTATTTTGGTGCCAACAAATTGTTCAATATATTGCGATATTAAAATGGAGTGAGGTGATAATGAGAACCGAATCGCTGTGATTGCATTACACAATGTGCTCCACACGCTTGGCATTAGTCAAATGTTTGTGTACCGGGCTATTAATAGGTACAATGAGACCTCCTCTGTTTGTGACAGAAAAAGATCTGGCCGTCCACGTAGTGTTCGTACGAAAAAGGTGGTCAAAGCAGTAAGGGAAAGAATTCGAAGAAATCCTGTCCGAAAGCAAAAGCTTTTATCTCGGGAGATGAAGATAGCACCTAGAACCATGTCGCGTATTTTAAAAGACGACTTAGGACTTGCAGCCTATAAGAGACGCACTGGACATTTTTTAAATGATAATTTAAAAAAGAATAGAGTGATAAAATCTAAGCAACTACTGAAGCGGTACGCAAAGGGAGGTCACAGAAAGATTTTGTTTACGGATGAGATTTTTTTTTACAATTGAGCAACATTTTTACAAACAAAATATCCGTTTTATGCTCAAAGCTCTAAGGAAGCTTCTCAATTAGTCGACAGAGTGCAACGTGTGCATTATCCGACTTCAGTGATGGTTTGGTGGGGTGTTAGCTATGAAGGAGTGACTGAGCCATACTTTTGCGAAAAAGGTATCAAAACATCGGCACAAGTGTTTCAAAATACCATTCTTGAGAAGGTAGTTAAGCCCCTTAACTACACCATGTTCAATAACCAACAATGGTCTTTCCAACAAGACTCGGCGCCGCGCCGGGTCATAAAGCTCGGTCCACGCAGTCTTGGTTGGAAACGAACGTTTCCGACTTCATCAGAGCTGAAGACTGGCCGTCGTCTAGTCCCGATCTCAATCCGCTGGATTATGATTTATGGTCAGTTTTAGAGAGTAGGGCTTGCTCTAAACGACATGATAATTTGGACTCCCTAAAACAATCCATACGATTGGCAGTGAAGAATTTTCCCATGGAAAGAGTGCGTGCTTCTATTGATAACTGGCCTCAACGTTTAAAGGACTGTATTGCAGCCAATAGAGACCACTTCGAATAAGCTTTTTATGTTTTAAATTGTTTTATATTTATGTATTAAACTTACAAACTGTAAAAGTAATAAATGTTATTTGCAATAGAAAAAATATTTTTTTTATTTGTTACAGTATTTATGGCTAGACTAGGTATATTGCGAAATAAGACAAAAGCATTGCTGAATTGGAGATTGGAGATGAGCCATAACAAAGGAGACTTAGCAAATGTTGACATAACATCTCTATCGCCTTTATCACGGGGAATGTTCTGAGGAATTGTTCGGTTTGATTCCCGCCGCATCTTTTCGCTATCGTTCCACGCGAAAACATGTTCATCCTCATCACATAGATAGTTGGCAGTCAACAACTTTGCGATTTTCGCGTAAATTTCTGCCCCGCACAGCAAAGCTTTGGAATGATCTTCCGGCGGCGGTTAGTAATAGTAGCAGTGGCGTTTTAAAGTAAATCTTGCTTGTAAAACGACCAATGTTCAAAGAAATGAAACAAAATCAAAAATTTCTACAATACTAACCATTAGAGCCCGCTTGGTCCAGTGCCATTTTCTCAAGTACAAAGCGCTGGTCGATCATGTTGGCCACCTGACATTGCAGGCGACATGCAGGACAGGTAATGGTCACACGCTCGGCTCCTGCACATAACGTAAATTATTGTAATCTAATGGTAAAACAAAGAAACATGTTAGCACGCATTCTTACCCAAGAAATCTCTCGAACTGGCTTGCTTCTCTTCTAGCTTGGCTCTGATACACGATTCGCAAGCGGAGTGCAGGCACTCCATGAGCTTGGGCGTGCCCTCCGCGAGCACGAGCACGGCGTGGCACAGCACGCAGCGCGTGTCGGCGGCCAGCGCGCGCGCCGCGCCGGGCGACGCCAGCGAGTCGGCCGCGCCCGCCTTGCCGGGCTCGCCCGCCTCGCCCAGCGCGCCCGCCTCGCCCGCCTCCGCCGCGTCGCCGGGGCAGCCCGCCGCGTCGCCATCGGGCGTGCTGCTTACCTGCATACGTGTATAACGATTACATATTTCATCAACCAAGTATGTCCATTAGTAAAGCTTTTTAATTTTTCCAATGTAAAGATCTAGGTTTCTTCATCACCTAGAATATGTCCATGCTTATACTGGGTATAGATTGGAGAAAATTGCCACCAGATTGTGTATGTGATTAATAGAATAGTAAGTCCCACTTGATTTGCTAAATTGCAAGACACATCATAGAAGAGCTCTAACTTTTCATTCTAATGTTATAACTCCACAAGGCCTTTACCATTTCACTAATTTTGGTCTTGAATTATTTTATTATTATTAGAGATTATAAAAAAAAAATACTAGAAAAAGTATAAAATCAACATCCATGCAGGCAGAGCCGCAAACAACAGCTAGTAGTCTATATACATATTATCTTCTATAAGTATAGTTAGCATAGTACGATTTTTGTTTAAAGTAATTTGTAAAAGTAATAACATTTATATTAATAATTTATTTATGAAGTCTAAATAATTAATATTAACTGAATTCCAAAAAGTGTCTCAGTTTAACTATAGAAATAATTATGTTAAAGTTATATGGTATATAGTTTTTTTATTAATATTGTTCAGAGACAACTTTCATTTATAAACTGGCTTTAAAGTTTTTTTTTTTAAGAAGTATGTACATTTTTAATGTGGTCCTCATTCAGGACCTGGATCTAATTGGATGACTGGGAAATTTAGAATGAATAACTGGCATACTGTTAGCACAGCTGGTGGGGGGGAAATTTAAATGGACTAGAGCTGGCCACTTTCAGGATTGATTTTTGGGCATATTCTAAGGAGAATAGAATCGATTTATGGGCCACCAACCCATGATGTAATACAGATGTAAGTATAGATTGACATCAAGCCAAATAAACATGTGGAGTTCATTTAAAGTTGGCTACATTTTTTTAAACATATTATTATTCACACTCTTGTGTTACAGATACAGTAAATGCATATGTTACCGAAATTAAGGTTTGTGTCAACCGTAACATCTAGCTGTTTTGTATGGTCAGCTTTTTCTAATGTAGAGCAAACACATGCAACGTTAGCGGACACTATGACAATTATGTGCATAAATGTTTAGGTTAGAAGCATTGTCTTAGTATTATTTATTGTAAATAAAATGTGTTGGGTCTTGTCTGAGTTTAATGTTAGGAGATTACTATGAAGCCAATAAGACACTAAATTAAAAACATTTCGTGCAAGTCCTCATTTTTGCCTAAGGCTGTGTCATCATTAAATATTTTAAATAATTACAAAAAGTACAGTTTTTATCAAACTTAAACAAATTCAAGTACAAGGTAGCTACAGCCTGTTTTGTAGCTTTGGTGTCATAAACAGGTGGAGGATATGATTAGTAGATAGCTTTAACAGGAAACAACTTTTACTCTGTAAACAGGCTCTAATAATTTTAGTTCAAAAATTTTTGAAGAACAGCTGTTTTCCGATGTTTCCTTATCACACTTCATAGTTTCTATAAAAGTAAGCAGTGCACATACTGCGTCCATTTAGCCTTTGACAAACCTATCCAATAGTGGTGCACTTGGGCCCAGTAAATACTGATTATAAAAGAAAGCATTGTCAAGTTAACAAGTATCTGAGGTCATGAGGGAATGCTTACATTGAGAGAAGCCGCAGGCGGCGCGGTGCCATCGGGCAGTTCCTCCGGGACCTCCTCTTTGATGGAGACGCCGAGCAGGGGGCCCAGGTCCATCAAGGCCCGTTCGATCTCCTCCCCGCTCGGCTGAAAGTTTACGTTTTCCATTCGACTGCTTTAACACTCGTCACTCATTTTACAACAACTTCGACATGTTGCACTTTCACTTGTCTCACTGGGGAGACTGGCATGTAGACGTAGCTAATTGATCACTTCGATTTCGAGATGCCGCCGCACTAACATCTCACGAGATAAAATTATATTGCATAAATTATGTGTTCAAGACGTTTAATTGTTTATAGGAGTTTCCATGTGTCGTTTTTTGTTTTTTATTTAATTATTAAGTTTATCAATACAACAAATATCAATTTTTAGTAAATATCCACACGACAAACGACAAGCTCGACAACCACAGACACAGACAGACAGCAGACACTCAGACACCACAGATTACTGCAGAGCTATAAACTATCAGATAGTCAGTCAGACACCAAATAGGAGTCTCGCTCTAACAAACGTGAAACTATGGATTAATGTAATATATTAGTATCGACTATACGCAAACAGTAAACTAAAGATTAGAACCAGTAAATAAGGGAAATCCAAGTTGTTGTGCACTTAAAATTAAATATGCACTGTCGTTAAAAATGTTGAGATAATAAAAACATTTTAGCAAGCGATTTAACAGGCATTTTATTTGTTAAGATTTGTTTTGTAACATTATTTGTATATTTCATACGATTCCGAAAAAAATAATTATACCACAGAACAATTTATAAATTTTATGTTTCGTGAATTATACAATAGATAATATAATGTTTGTGTAAGTTGACGTGTTTTTATCAAGGCAAACCATATTAAGGCTATGGCAAACCAACGAATGTGCAACGTTGACAGATGACAAATCATGACACATTTACGTGACAGATAGTGACAACACGTCGAAAATGGCTGACTCTGGCCCGAGTAAAACCGATATTGAAGCAATTTTCCAAAGATTACGTTCGATTCCTTCGAATAAAGTATGTATATTTTGAAGCTGTGAAATAATAGAATGGACGTTGAGTTACAGTTATATGTGTTATGGTGTGCAGGTATGTTTCGACTGCAACGCAAAGAACCCTACGTGGTCGTCGGTGACGTACGGGGTGTTCATCTGCCTCGACTGCTCGGCGGTGCACCGCAGCCTCGGCGTGCACCTCACGTTCGTGCGCTCTACGCAGCTCGACACAAACTGGACATGGAAACAGCTCCGGAACATGCAGCTTGGCGGGAATGTGAATGCAGTATGTTGTTTGTTTCCTGATTCTATTGGATCTGAACCCCTCTAAGTACTAAGTTGTTACTACACAAAATATTCGTTTGGTGATTAAATCATTAGTGTAGTAATTTAAATATGCGATCTGCTGACCAGTTTCTGAGTTTTGAGTGCATTAATGCTATTGTATTGTAGACCATAGATTTGCATTACATGCCAGTAGATATTATAAAACTAGTGCTAGTAGGGAATACTATGTGTGTCTTGAAATTTTCTGGTAAACTCTTGGCCAGTTATGCTAAAATCTGTAGAAAGTAAAACATAGATAATACTATACTACTATCTTTTTAGACCCAGTTTTTCCGCACACATGGGCTCTCCACAGAAGACGCTCGGCAGAAGTACAGTTCTCGTGTGGCACAGATGTACCGTGACAAACTGAGTGCCATGTCTGAACAAGCTATGAAGACATATGGTACCAAGGTGTGTTAGAAACAAACTCTTACCTAGCTAACTGTCTGGACTGTACAACAACAGGGCTGGTGAACAAATATACCATGCAATTTCTTCAATTAATTTGTGTAACATTACACACAATTTGTTAAAATGGTATAAAAATGTTACTTATTTTCTAGTGGTTACCAAAATTTCTTCATAGGAACATAAGAAAAGGCAACAAAAATATTCATAAGATTCCTATGAAAATAAATTGAATCAAGAAACTATATATTTATATGTATATATAGACCCATGACATTGTCTGAGAGATAATAATTATAATTTGATCCAATTTTGCTGAAACTGAATTTAGATCCAGTTTATTGTTGTTATCAACTACCAAGTTGATTACATAATTGTTGTACAGTACAGTTCACTTTAAGTACAGGGTGTATCTTTTATGTATTGTTTTACTTTAGGTTTGGGTAAGTAATGAACTGTAACAATAGCCAGCACTATATTTGAATTGATATAACATATGGGTATAGTATGCATATATTGAATGATGAGTACATCTAGAGCTCTGTATACATGTATATAATGAGTACTACTTGTGTAAGTAACATGTTGCCCACAGCTGCACCTGGACCCCGCGCCGGCGGAGCCCAAGGAGAGCAAGGAGCCAGAGGTAGACTGGTTTGCAGAGCACGGCGAGAGTGCCACTCCCACTAACACTAGCGAGCTTGCCCCCACTGCACAGGTAACACTGACACTCCTACTCATCTACTCAATACCTGAGACCACACTTAGCAATTGTGGTGTGAGTTCCTTTGGTAATGTGACACTCATAGGATTGCTGCAGTATAGCATGAAGTACAAGGTCAGCTAGCACACATGCCCAGTGCTCAGGTATGTTTCTACTGGCTTGTGCCCTCTGCCTTGCTTGCTTCGATTATTGTTTAACATTATGATCATTCAGTGTACATTATCTTATTGTTTGACCGAAATATACGAGAGTTTAATGTAAAAACATGTCACCTACTCACTTTGGTTGGCTTTGTTAAGACTGTTGAACAGTTTTCATGTGTGTGTGAATTTGGACATAACAATAGTCATAGTGTGAGTGTTACATTATTCTGATATGTAGTAGAATTATATCAAAGATTATTTTTGGCGGTTCCATATTGGCACATTGAAAGAATTAACTGTGTCTGTAATGATAGTTTCTTGCGGCAGGTCGGTGCCGGCGTGGGCGGAGCCGGGGCCGCGCTGAGTTCCCAGGCGCGGCTGTGGGCGGCGCCGCAGGGCTCCACCGCGCAGCCCGCGCGCAAGGGGCCCGCTAAAAGGACCGGGGTCAGAGATTTTGATGTGAACAATGATTGCTTTTCGTATAAAAGTGTAAACGGTCATATAATGAAAGCGGTTCGGTACAGTTGGGAGCGCGTAAAGGCGGGCTGGGCGCCACGAAGGTGGCGGCCAACTTCGAGGACATCGAGCGGGAGGCCATGATGGCCGAGAAGCTGAAGGCGGAGGCGGCGGCGGGCGCGGGCGCGGGCGCGCTGGACAGCGCACTGGACAACGCACTGGACAGCGCGCAGCGCGACCTCGCCTCGCTGCGTCTGGCCTACCGCCCCAACTCCGAGCGCCTCGGCATCGCCAGCGCCAGCGCCAGCGGGCCTACTCGCGCGTGAGCTACTTCAGCTATTTCGCTAGGGGACAGACACCGGAGTACCAGCTACGTGTCACTCGTTGTGTCACAAATCCCGTGCTGCGGGGCTTTTTTCATTTGACTGGATATATTTCCACGCTCTTATTTCTTCGGACTGCAGGAGAACTTTGTCCAGTAAAGTGTATATGATAATATGCAAATCCCTTGTCAAACATAGCAGAATAATGATTGCGTTAAATTTCGCGTCCAAACTATGCACTAATCGCTAAGTGCTTGATGTTGCAGTGGAGTGTCGCACTCGGCCACGTCAGACATGACGGTCATAGAACAGGAGGACGCGCCCACTGCGCGTGCGCAGCTCGATGACATCGACGACTTCACTTCCTCCTTCACCATGATCAGGTACATTGATGATTACGACTTCACATACACATGAAATCCACAGCCGAAACAACAATTTGTGGATCGAAGAGTTGTTCCGTGCGGGACTCGGACCCGCGACAGGTTGCAACCACCTCCAGGTGTTGCTGCATTGTTTCACGAACAATGCCAACCAAAAGAACACACAACAATGCAGCTCATTCCCTATTAGTATTTTGCCAGACTTCGTGGCAAGGTAAATAATGAGACTGTAGATGGTTAAGGTCTGTTTATTACTTTAATTGCTGGTGCTTATATACTAAGAAGATGCGTGAGATTTTCAGATTTAGCTATCCTAACAAACGTGCAACAATTAACATGTGTGTCTTATCTCTATCGTATCTAAGTAATGTAGCGACGTGATCGTGCCGCTACAAGTATCATCTACTAAGTAGTCTTTTATAAAATGTCTTACAGTAAAGTTATCTGTTTATATTTATATTTATTAAGAAAATTTACATATACAACATTACAGCTTACGCCATTAAGTTATATTGTTAATTTTATATAAATACTATTATCTGTTATGTTTATACTCTTGAATATCATTGAGAATATTTTTGTGATATAGTTTAGGCAAGTTTTAGTGTAATCAGAATGTAATGCTCATCTGCAGAAACGAGCCCTACGGCAACAGTCGCAACTTGGACAAGCTATTCGGTGACAGCGACCGCAAGTCTTCGTCGTACGACAACCTGGGCGGCGCCGGAGTCACGCGCATCTCCCCCGAGCCTTCCAGGCCCGTGCACACCATGTTCGGGGGCGCCGCCCCCTCCGACGGGGGCGCCGCGCCCGCCGCCGCGCCCTCTCGCAGCCGGGCACGCCGGGCGGAGCCCGAAGACGACTCCGCTGTCAAGAAGTTCGGCTCTGCCAAGGCCATCAGCTCCGCTCAGTTCTTCGGAGAGCAGGTCTGTGTCTTTTATTCAGTAACATCGTGTTTGCTTCACTGACTCATGGCAGTACGTGATAAGTCCATGAGTGTTTGGACTGACCAGCGAGTTGTTACGCTGCAGGAAGGGCGCTGGGAGCGCGACTCCAACCTGTCGCGGTTCCAGGGCAGCAACAGCATCTCGTCCGCCGAGTACTTCGGGGGCGAGGCGGGGGGCGCGGGGGCGCGGGGCGCGCGCGCCTTCAGCGTGGGCGCGCCCGACCTGGACGACGTGCGCGAGTCCGTGCGCGCCGGCGTGACGCGCGTGGCGGGACGCCTGTCGTCGCTGGCCAACGGGGTGGTCTCCTCCATACAGGAGCGCTACGGCTACTGAGCCTGCCGTACTCCGAGCGCCCCACGTGTTTCTGCTTCACTCTAACTTCCCCATCACATCATAATGAAAAGTTACGACATGATGTATGTTTTCATTTCATGACAATAAGTAGAAACATTGTATGCGAGTATAATATATAACATATTCCTCTCCTCGCCGTCACTAGCACCACTTTATATAAATATGTATTAAGTCAATCTTAATCTTAGGCGGCGACAGCAAATGTGACGTCGTATCTGGGACTTTTAGCAACTTTCTAATTTAGGTAATTAATTGTATAATTATGCGCGTTTACTGTAAATCCAAAGCTAAATGCGTGCTTTAGTTAATAAGTATGGTGCGCACGAGGGGTGAGGGGAGTGTGGTTCAGTGTAAATATTGTATGATATAGTATGTATGTATGTATGTAGCAGCGCCCCGAGCATTCACCTGTCGCTGAGCTTGTTCCCATTAGCCATACAAGTGCCTGCATCACTGGTACATCAGCGCTCCGTACTGTACGCACGTCGCTCTGTAACCTTGTTCTTGCTGAAACAAAACCGTTTTCATACACAACTTTGCAGGTTGAGTGTCCTCGAGGTAACTGTATGTCTATAACATCTCAATTGACCTGCTTCCATTTCAAGACTGTAAAAAACCTTTTACTTAATGTTTTTCTGTTTACAAACCAGATTCATGTGTAAAAATTATCATGAGATGATAAACTAAATTTATTGAAAACAACGGCTCACTCCCGGTAAGTAAAATATATGTTTCAAGTGAGGAGGCCGCCGTTATTTTCAATAAAAGTAAAGTCCTGTCTACATAGTGCTTTAAAATGATTTTCTAATCAATTCAAATATTACTTTAGTGATTATACAGTTTCTTGAAGTAAAGCCCAGGTAGTAAGACCATTGGTCCAAAGAGAAGCTAACTAAAATTGTAACTTCTGACATTTTCTTTACTAAAATCATAAAAGACTCCTTATTTCATAGACTTAATAATTAGTATTGGGTGCCAGGGCACGCTCACGGCTCACTAAACTACATCGAGTTTTGTACCATATATAGCTGGCCTGTAGATGCACATACATGTTACTCAATTCCTGTCTCTAGCTAACCATTTGATTACAATCTCGAATATTCCTATAAAACGCAATATACATTTCTTACACCGTTAAACGGGCTTGATAGAATTTGAAAGGTGAGTAGATACAGTAAAGGGGTGGATACATATTGGCATATTCCTCTATTTTATTTTTATTCACAATTCTTAGTCTACTCACGTCTCGCATTGTGTTCTCAAATCCGAGTCCCCGGCACTGCACACTACAGACTGGCCCCGCGCTAGTATGGCTGCATTCCAGATAGATCGTATGCCGACTGGCGGACACTGCGCTGTACGGTGGTCGGTATGCTACGACGGAGCATTTATCATTTATTTATTATATGTAAAATAAATGACCATAGATATTTTTATTTTTATAATAATTTGCTAAGTTGTTGTTGGGAGGACGTAGTAGATTCTATTGTTTCGTGTTACGTTCAGGTTTCTGTGGCCAATGTAAGGAGACGCGCCGTACGCGAGGCCACTGCTCGTCCGCATGTTCACTGAACATTTGTATAGTAATAACATTTTCAATTTAGATAATAATTATTGATATAAATATACATTATATTTGCTATTTTTGTAGTCTTCTTTCATTTACCAACATCTTAATTCCTGTTGAACGGTTTTACGCTCTTTGCCAGCTGCTTGACAATATTGAGTATTTGAACCGATATAAATGCACTCACAGGTACAATTAACGGCCTCCTTTTGAAATGTTGACCACATTTTATGATTGGTACGCTGAAAGTTTCACTTAATAACTTGCTGACAACGAAACGGTCATCTCGAGTTGAAGTGCATCGATGCCGACCTTGACTTGTCCTGCGGGTGTATGAGCCAGACCTCCGACATCGTCTCCCGATAGGGGTTGCGGATATAAGGATCGGGAAGGGAAGGGATTGGGTTGTTTCATGCCGGTATTCTGTGAGGCCTTAGTATCACTCCGGTCGAGCCGAGCCATTCGTGCCGAAGCTTGGCTCTCCCACACTTAATCTTTAATGGCATCCTGTACTGTGGTTCGGGGTACACCGAGATGACGAGCAATACGAGCCTCTAACCAGCGTCAGCTAAAGCCACTGCCCTACTAGTATTATGAAACGAAATAAGGGTATAAGTGTTTATTTATTGCTAAAGTACCTACCCAGTTGTCAAAAAATTAAACAACTGCTAAGCAAACGGCGATAAATTATATAAGGTGAGCGGTTAATTGTGCATGTGTGTATTATGTATTGTGTCAGAAAATAAGACGATAAAACGAAACCCGGCCAAATAATACTCGGTCTGAATTAGAATTTTACTGTCACATTGTTTTTTTTTCAAACCAAGTTTTTGTAGACTGAAAAACAAAGATAGCTATGTTACAGTGATTGATGCCTTGTTATGGAAATAATTTAGAGCACTACTTCCACCTGCGACAAACGATTAATAAATCTGAATGTGAAGTTTCTAAACGCATAAAAAGGTATAGTAAATAAGTATCTACATTGTTTTAGCTTTAGGTACGAAGTAAAACTCCAAGCCTAATCTTATTGTAATTCACGCTGATACGTAATTTAGACAGGTCGCAATGCGCAAGCTTTAATTCAAATATTAGCTACAAAGAATGGCGCTAAGAAGTCAGATGACGGACACAGTACATTAATGACCCAAGAAAGATTTGTAGGTACTTATGTTGCTACTACGGATCATATTTTATAGGTTGGATCGGAGACGACCTAGTGCGGAAGCGCTTCGAAGTATTGCAGTAACTCTACTACGGGGTATTTGTTGCACCTATTTTCTTGCATTGAGTAATGGAGGACCTGAATTTTGTAATTCTTAGTTGTGGATAATATACTAGTGAATCTTAGGGTAGAAATATTAGTAAAGTGAAGTCATAAAGGATAGAAAAGTACAACTGGGGTAGTAAAAAACAGTATAGTTTAGCTTAATTATATTTTATAATCGTGAGACGCACTCAGCTAATCTTCTTAGCAACTATACACACATTCTCCGGAGACACGGTGACTGGCACGTAGAAACACAGTCTAGCATCGAAACCTAGGTCCCGCAGGTGTAGCACGCGCACCCAGTCCAGCAGGTGCTTGGCGCGGCGCCCTACTGACTCCCGGTACTCCTGCGCCAATACCAAGCGCGAGGCCCCGTGATCAGCGGGCCCGTCCACGTCTTCGTGATTAGCGGGCCGCTCCACGTCTCCGTGACTAGAGGGCCGCTCCACCTCCCCGTGACTAGCGGGCCGCTCTACCTCCTCGTGACTAGCTGGTTTGGTGCGCGAGTCCCGGCTGCGGCCATCGCCACACGTCGCCCACGACACGATCCCCAGCATCACGTTGAATTCCTCACCGGTTATACCCAGATCCTGGAAATATTTTAATCTATGAGAGGTCAAATGACAAGCTATAACTCATTTTACGAAATCTGCATGCCTGATTCCTAGACCTACCTATATACATAGGGTCAAGGCACTATAATTTGTAGCATTGTAGTAGTACAACATGGTAAAACTGGAGTTTTTATTTGGTTATGGAATATGACACAGACGACCAGCAGACGGTGTTTTTTAAGTAAGTATTCATTATTCACACCTCTTCTGCGACTATTCACCAGTTTTACTTCCAAATGTGCAATGCGTCGCCTGGCGATGGAGGGTACCTGGAGCTTCCGCGGCGCGAAGAAGGCGCTCAGCTCGCAGCGGTGGTGGCAGCACGTTGCCACCAGCAGCCCGCGCCGCCGCGGCCCCGCTCCGGGACCGCTAGTCGCTGCCTCGCTCCCACCAGACCCCGCCTCCACCGCAACGGGTCCCGTCTCGTCCTCTGCACTAACGCAGCGCAGCGCATAGTCTGACACATTCACACAGTTATTTATGAACAGCTCGCAGTACAAAGCAGTAGAGTACGGTAAAGCAAGTGTGAGCGTAGTGAGGTACCGGTGGCTACCCCGCAGAGATGCTTGGCCAGCCCCAGCAGCGCGCGCGAGTTGGCGACACGCGGCACGCGCGCCAGTCGCACGTGGCGCAGGTCGGCGCGGAGGCGGCGCGCGGCGCGCAGCTTGTTGTCGCGCTTGTGGCGCAGCGCCGCGCGGTCCAGCAGCACCAGCGCGCCGCCCTGCGCGCCCCACGCCTGCCACGCGTAGTATGACATGTGGCCTGCGCATACATATTCCCTGCCTTGTTACTTCCCTGCTCCTATTCCTCTTCGTATCGCTGATAATACGAATGAGCTGACATTGATACCTTTCCCAGCGCCAAGTTCCACATAGCATGTATCACCGCCGACGAGCCCCTCTTCCTCTGCTAAGTGCAGCAAAGCAGATACCTGTCGCAGATGTCTGCGCGAGCTCTCTGTGCGGTCACTCTCTGAGAACTCTTCAACTATTGTGTTGTGAATCGGATGTTCAGGAAATGTTGTTATGTTGCCTGCGACATGCTCTGCACAAACATTATTCATTTTATACATCAACATTTACATGCTAAGTATTGAAAATTTAAACAAATTATATTGTTATAACAAGCAGTCTAATGTTTACAATATAATGAATTATATCAGACATATTATATGTATACTGATTTTATGTTTGCAAGAACAAAATTAATTTGTAATATACATATATTTAATGGTTTTGTTTCAGTTGTCATTGAACTTATGTGTTCTCACAATGTTTTTTTTCATATTAATAAAAAAAAAGCGGTAAATCGTCAAATTTCAAATCAATTTAGTGCTTACTGTCATATAAATAGTTAATTTTGTCAATGACTTGCATGATTGTCTCTCGAGGTAGCTGTGCGAGTGGCTTGCGGACACATGTTTCTCCTTCAGTGGGTGCGTTGATATTTGGCACAATATAAGGAGGCTGTTCCCTAGCACGAGCATTGCAGATAGAAAGATGCTTCTCCAGTTTGCTGACATACACTGTGCTGAAACACAGTGGTGTTCATGTGGTTAGTATTGCCTCATGATTTACCTTAGCTTCAATTAGCCCAGAGGATACTTAGAGACTAGATACTTACTGTTTAGGGTCATTTGGGCATGGTATTCGTCTGTCATCCTAAAATGAATGGTAATTATTTGATTAGTTTTATAAATTTATAAATTTTATAGTTTCATAAGTAAGGTTCCTGCATCGGGTCCGTGGGTAGGTAGCCTTAGGGGCGGATCATACCTGACACTCGGACGCGGGCGGCTGGGGTTCGTGTTCCCCGCAGTACTGCCGGCCCGGCCGCACTGTCATGCGGCACAGTCGCTTCTTCCTCACCACGAAATATTGACATTGACCAGATTGACCTTGTGCAATAGAACCCATATTTGAATCTTTCGCTTAGTGAAAACTTTTTGGTAACAATTTCACTTTTTGGCGAAATTAGTTTGACACAAGTACATTACAACTCAGCAAGCATACAAATATCAGGTGTATAGAAGTCATGGAGGGAAAACTTGAATTCGTTGCTAGGAGGATATTGGCAATTATTAAAAATTCATGAAGGTAGCTTCTTAATAAAATCTTTCCTGCGGAACGTAGCGCTTAAAATAATATATTCGTAATCACCAATGTAAGTCATAAACTCTAACACGATGACAATTGACACGATTAAATTAATGATGTAGGATGACATTGACACGTCTTGTCTTGAAGACATCGTCACCATGCTACCCAAAAATTAACTGTAAACCATGGATCTGTAGATAATACCTCCATGCTGTAAACAAAGCTTAAACATTTGAATAAAATCCTATTTTTATGTGATAGAGCTGCATCAGATAGAGGATTTACTCGATGAAATAAATTATATTAAATGTACTACAGTTTCTTGAACATTTTGGCTATAGTTATATAAGTATATAGGTTAGTAAGTTACAATAACTAACTTATGTTTAATCAATGGTCTAAGGCCTAAACATTAAACTGGCCTTAGATAGGTATTTGAGTGTTTCAGTCGAAAACATATATACAAAAAATATGTACTATTGATGAATATGTTACGTATTGCCGGCTTTAAACTTTTATTTTTCACTATGGTCATTGTGATGATTTAGACGTCAACAATATTTTAGGTTAGGCGTCGCATCATTGCTTAATTTGGTTTTCTTTCACGTATTATGTAGTGTTGGTGGCGCAATATGAGTTCCCCCAGTAGAGACAATGAGGAACCGTCGTCAAGCACTCCGGCAATGGATACAGACCCTGCCGCGAGCGGAGACGCAGCGGTTGCCCGGCCGCCCGCCAAGCGCAGGATCTCCAGCACAGTCATTGAGATTTCCGACACGGATAGTGATGATTCGGATGTGTGCGCTGTCAATTCTTATCAGGCTTCTGCTGATGAAGTCAAGAGGATTAGAGGAGGTAAGTTCTCGTACTTTTAATAAAATAAATTTGCGCGGGAAAATTGAATTTTGAATAGGCGATCCCATTGGAAATGTAAGAGATTTATAGATATTTCGCTATACCTTACTACTCCGTTTTGCGTTTATACTTTGTGTATCAAGAAGCATGAGATCTTGTTATAGGTTGTTCTTTCTAACAAACAAAACCATTTGAATATGTACTAAATATGTATAAACTTTGGTTAAATAGACGAAGTTAGTGCTTTTATGAGCTTATTAAATTCATGTGTCAATTAAACCTAATTCAAGTGACACCTTTTTGTTTCCCCAAAACATTTATAAAACACCTGAAATCATTTAGGATAGATGCAAAAGCAAATGGACTCACAGAAAAAGTATTCTTTTCACTATTTGGTTCATTGCATATAATGGTATTTGTGTATCTATGATCAACCAAACAGTTAAGTACATGTTTCAATTTTGTAAAATAACAAACTAAATTAATAGTGGTAAATATGTAACCCATATCAGTGTCCTCAGAATAAACTGTTGTGGAGAAATTATTTATATAAAAAAAAGAATTATAAACAGTGTTACCATTTACACGTCTAATTCTAAACTCACAATAATATGTACCAGGTAAAGCATTTGACTGACATATCATCTATAACTATTTGCAGAAGACTACTCTTCATCATCATCATCATCAGAATATAGCTCTGACTCAGAATCCTCTTGGGAGGATGACTCCACAATAGTAGTGGATTACAAAAGTAATGAGAAACCAGTGAAAGCACAGCTCAACCCTCGGGCCAACAGGATGGACAACCCACTGTTCAACCCTAAGATTAAGGTAATCTGACAACATGCTGTCATATTGTGTTCAGTGGGAACATTACACAGCACTAACTATATTTTCATTGCCCTTCAGTCACAAGAACTACTAGAAAGATTGCAAACACATTGGAAAGAACTTAAAGACTTGGACACTCCTGAGGTGAAACTCACCTGTGAGCCATTCAGATTGTGTCTACTGCATGACTTCCTGGCCAATTCGGAGATAATTAACAACATTGTAGATGATATGAACACATTGGACTGGTCACGGAAGAAGATGGATCTATACGAGTTCCATCAGACTGCTGACCTGGCTAGCCTTACCTGGCAGAGAAGTATTAGAGGCATATATGAGCTGCTGAAGACTGAGGTCATGAGTTGGGTGAGTTACAAGTTAGAGTCTGAGACAAGTAAGTAGTAGTGTAAGTTAGTAGCTGTGAGTGACGGACCGCGTGGCGCAGGTGGCGGCGGCCACGGGGCTGCGCCTGGAGTCGGTGTCGGCGTCGTGCTCGCTGTACGGGCCCGGGGACCATCTGCTGGTGCACGACGACCTGCTGGCCGACCGCCGCGTCGCCTTCATCCTCTACCTGGCGCCCTGGCCCGCGCGCCACCCCGCTGCACTCGACGACCGGCCTCTTGAGAACGGCTCCGGAGACCACGACGCGGTAAGCTGGAACATATATATATTACAGACAAACTTATTGATTATATTAGTAGGTAGTTGTGTTTACATAGCTTCAAAGAGAAATCAATCAAAACAATATTTTCACCAGCCATATTCTGCTGCAACTAGCATAATACATTATGGTACAAGGCCATAGTAGTAGTAGGTAGTAACGTAGACAGTGCGGCAGGGCCGGCGCGCGGAGTGGGGCGGCTGGAGCCCGGCGATGGGCGGCGCGCTGCAGCTGCTGGCGCGCGACGCGCGGGGCCGTCCCGACCGCGTCGTGCGCTCCATCACGCCCAGGAACAACACGCTCGCCTTCTTCAAGGTTGGCGCCGACTCCTTCCACCAGGTCAGTACGGGCCAGGCACGCCCCCCTCCCCCTCCCCGCGCCCGCTTACATTCGCGCTGTGCAGGTGGAGGAGGTGCTGTCGCTGGAGTTGCCGCGCCTGTCCATCAACGGTTGGTTCCACGGGCCCGCGCCGGAGTCCGAGCCCGACGCGGAGCCCGACGCAGAGCCGCAGGAGCGCGACGACACCGACACTACTCTCGAGTTACACCGGCCGCACAACGACATTGTACGTACACTGTTTCCTAGTTTGAGTAGCTGCCTGTGTGCCGATTTTGATAATCTTATTACTAAAGGCTGATTTATATGCACTACAAGAAATTTTATATATGAAAAATGAATCGCAAAATGTGTTGGTAAGTCAATAACGCCTGAACCAATTTTGCCAATACGTTTTTGGTGGTATTTGTCAGGAGAAGGTTGTTATTTAAGAAAATTTAAATATGCGGTGACAGGTGGTGCTAAACGCGTGGCTGGGGGCGCAGTACCTGTCCCCGCGCGCGCGCCTGCAGGTGCAGGCCCACATGGAGCGCCACAGCGAGGTCAGCCTGCACGACCTGCTGCAGCCCGAGCCCCTCGCCGCCCTCATGCAGGCCCTCGCCGACCCCGGTGCGTACTCTACACGCTTTGCCAACTTCCGATCTTTCATATCGCTGGTATTGCAAACGTCCTTTTGGCATTGCGAAGAAGGATTAGGCCTTCGGTAAACGCACTCACATTCTCTGGTTGTTTCACGCTGGTTTTCTGTGAAGCCAAGTATCATTTCAGTGGGTAGTTAATTTTATATAGATTCGGATTCGGTACTATTCTAAGTGCATACATTAAATCACTTGAAACCTACAATACAGTGTTAGAAGTAACCACAAAGTTGAAATGAATAATTTGAGCGTCTTCCAAGTCAGTACTTAAGTTGTTTTTAAGTAGCTGCCTACGCATGATCTATCGTTAATTACTTTTCTACTTTTATAGAACTAGAAGAAGACAGTACATATACTTCAAGTGATAATTAGTAATGTCGAGTCAACGTGTGTATAGTGTGAGAGTGTAGCGCTAGCGTCTGGTACAGAGTTGCCGTGGGAGCTGGCGGGCCCCGCCGACCGCTGCCGCTACATGCGCGTGCCGGGCTCGTGGGCCAGCGCCGAGCCCGGCGCGCCGGCCTGGGCGCCAGGAGCCGGCGGCGCGGGCGGCGCGCGCGTCGTGCGCGCCGCGCTGGGGCTGCTGGGCAGTGCGGCCTTCGTGCGCATGCTGGCGGACTGCACGGACCTGGCGCTGAGCGGCTGGCGCGGCCTGGAGCTGCAGCGCTGGGCGGCCGGCGACTACGGCCTGCTGCCGCCGCGCGCGTCCTACGCCGCGCCGCGCCTCGAGGCGCGCCTCATGCTGCTGGCGGGGCGCGCGCCGGCGGGCGCGGGCGGCGCGCGCGTGTACGTGGCGCCGGAGGACGCGGCGGACGAGGGCGACGCGGACGCGGACGCGGCGCTGGTGTCGGTGGGGCCGGCGCACAACGCGCTGTCGCTGGTGTACTGCGACGCGGGCGCCGCCGGCTTCACCAAGTACGTGCCGCGCCTGGCGCCCGCGCCCGACCCCTTCTACGTCTTCACCTGCACCTACGTCGAGTGACACCGCGCTCGCCCGCGCCCCCGCCTGCGCCCCCGCCTGCGCCCCGACGGACACTGGCGCTGAATACACGTATGCTCGCGGACTGTGCCCTACGACTTCGGTTTAAATGTCTATATTCACGTTATTCGAATGTATTAACCAAAACCATGGCAAACATCAAAATTTGGTGACGTTTGCTACTAGAGTATACTGACCATAATGTCCAACATAGTTATTCCCTCCCCTTACACAAGATATTCGTACGAACGTAAATTACCCGACGATAATGGTGTCATACATTTTAAAGTTAACAATATACATTTAACAAACTTTCTTATTTGGATCAATATTAAAGCAGCGAATGACGGAAATATTGACAAGGCCGTGGTAACTGTATTACTCACTATTTATTAACATCGACTTAGTATCGAATGTAAATATTATTAAATATCGTTTGTTATCAGATTGAATCGACAATTGCATGTCAGGGAGCAGAGAAATATTGCGACACTATTTATTTTCGTACAAAATTTTATGAAAGTTTCAATGGTTCGCCATGCGCAGGTGACGCTAGGAGTATAGATAGTGCTAGTACTTAGGACTAATGATTAAATAATTATATTTTTGTATGTAGCTACGATGTGTGTGTGTATGGAATGTGTTCATGTTTACTTGATGTAACATTACGATTATTATTTGTAATATTGCTGTGACGAGGTTGATGACATTGTGTTACTTACTTTTTGTACATATTAATAGGAAATTAAACATTAAGGAATGAAACGTTTTTTATTTGAGCGCCACGGACAAATGAGCGCTGAAGCGCGCAGCAGTATGTAACCGAACGTGACACCCTGATTACCCACAACTTCTGAGTTTACTACTGCGATTTCATGGTGTTTTATATTGCAAATACCCCGCGGTACATTTCAATTATAAAATCCTCATATTACAAAATGTTTTTTTTTCCTAGTATGTTTTTGATATATTCTAGTATTATTTTTCCATGTACTTCTTACTTTTGATTTGATTTGAACTTGATCTTTGTTCTTATAATTTATATTTAATTTAATTTCTTTCTTATATTATAATCCGTACGTACTAGTTATGCGTTGCTTTCGTCCGTGCGTCACTGCAGGGGTGCCAACTGAAAATCAGTGTTGGGTGCTCAGTGTGCCCAGCTTTTTGCTGAGTTGGCGACCCGTTCGGTTTAGACATGTCTGCCAACCCTGTAGAACACTGTCAACACTGTGTGTTCTGCTGTCTGCCAACACTGTGTATATGATACTGTATAATTAGCGTATTTTTGTTTTTCTGTCTTTTTAACCTTTTTATTGTTTTTTGTGTTGTACTTATTGTTTTTTTCTGGCTTTCATGTCTGATGCCGAATAAATGCATTTTCTTTCTTTCTTCTATTTCCTCGGCCGAGAGCCGCCTGCGCTCTCCCCGTGTCGGGGGCAACTCGAGCCACGCCACGCTGCACGCACTCAAGTGGGGACTCAAACTGACACTACACGGAAGGCGCGGCCGACGGCCCGACCTCTACTTTTCCGTCCTCTAAGAACGAAACGCAACGCTCTGTACGCTCGGGTCTGGTTTTGGTCGGCCGGCGAGCTACCCATACCGTTCGTAGACCGGAGGCCGATCGTCTCATGATCCCCGACGTCCATAGTGTTGCCTACTGCAGCGGCTGGGGCGTGAGGAGGAGGATAGCTCCCTCACGCGCTCCGCCTCCTTTGCGAGCATAACTGCTTTGAGAAAGAGGAAAGACTTCCTAGTTCCTCTCGCTCCACACCATGGCCTCACTTCCCTGAGGAAACGGCAGGGACACACCACCGTCGGCTCCACCGTGTCTTCTGAGAGTGGTCCTCACAATGACGATACTCGGGCGTTTCCTGCCGCCGGATCCGTGCCGTGCCCGTTAAGCACTTGCGTCAGGCGGAAGGTGAAGACGCCGTGGCTCTTCAGCCACTTCTCGGTCTTACCGCTGCTATAATAGCGTGCCCGAAACCTCCCAAAGTTAGCCAGTGAAGTAAAGTGGTAGCAATAGCAATGTTACAGTTAGTTGGGCTTATCGAACAAAGTGGTTCTTACGACGATCTTTACGGGTTTATTTAATTAGTTGCGTGATATGTATTACCAACCAAATACAAGCTATAATCTACTGACCTCACACTTTGTCTAGCAGTACTAAATATAATGAATAGTATAAGACTGATTTAGAAGGATTTATTGCGGTTATATTGTGTCACGTCCGTGGTCTCTGAGGTGGCAATCAGCGACGCGACGTGACCGCGGCGTGTTCGCTTGTACTGCTGTACCTACATTAAAGCTATAACACGCCTTTACACGGTGCTACATGATCTTGTCATAAATTATCAAATAAATTATTTTTCTTTCTTTTCTTTCTAATAAACCTAGAAAATCTCTACCAGATCCTACATTAAACTTGTTATTTTCATTAAAAAAAATCAACTGATTATACTTATGATAGTTAGTTAAATAGCATCAATGCTAATTAAATTATAACCCATGAAACGACGAAAACATAATAAATAATTTAGAATGTCTCACGAAAGTTATAATAAAAATCTATCTTTTGAGGTTGTAAGTATTTGGGTCCAATAGCGGGCCACGAAATCGTTTATTTCGTTTGAGAAGATAAACGTGTGTGTGTGTAGGCAGTGCTGGCGTAAGGGCCACTGACACCCCGGGCAAAAATATTGTAGCGCCTGCTTGAGGGAGGCAATCAAGTGCTAGTTTTTTGCTAATCTAAGTAAAATAAAAAAAAACTCAATAAAAAATATGCACAGTTCTGAGGTTTGCACCAGAGACTCAAACTTCAGACCTTGGCGCTTCCAAGTATTTGCCCAGAGATGCCCACTGTACCAATGTTGTGGTCAGCTGAGACTCGCTAGTTAGATATTAATCAACGTTTACTGACTTCATCAAACACTTTGAAAAACTACACCAGACAGTAATAAGATAGGAAATATTTCTTGGCTTTAGAGGTAGGTAGGTACTTGGGTCAAGCAGGTATATATTTTTGATTCCTCATACCTAACAGAACTGGTCATACATACCCACCCTAGGTACAGAAGTGAGTAAATTTTGATGAACAAGTAAATAAAATTTTACAATTCCACCGTTCGTGAAGTATCTAGTAGTTAGGTTACAACTTCTAATAGGAATAAGGAGTAAAAACCTCAATTACGCATTAGATGGGTTTAATTACTTAGTAATTAAATTTATTTTTACTCTTAACTTACATATGTATGTTCCTATTACCTACATATAATAGTCTTGGTCACAGAGAGTTCGGCTAGTATTTCACTCATTTTTGATGTAAACAATGTTGTCGGCTGTTGCCATTGTGTGCCTACATTACTTATTAGCAGACCGCGAGCCCGTAGAACATCACAGGGCGCGCGGCGTACACATACATACATACTCGTGCCGTTTTTATGTCGCCCATGTTGTTTGTGATGTTATGACAAGGTTTTTTTGTAAGCGTATTCCATATAAAATAAATTCGATTCAATATTTTAAACATATTTTAGTATAAATCCTCGGAAACCTATTCGAGGCCTAGTGGCCAGGTTCGTCCGGCAGAATGATCCTAATATCTCGGTACGCTACAAATGTGTAAAATATGTGAAGGGACCAGAAGATGGCGCTAGCTTAGCGTATAATTTTATTGTTGGTGAATGGCAAAGGGTTCAGGGATTTTGTTATTTACATCCATTGTAAGTACATTCAGCGACAGGATTGTTACGACTTACCCGCGCGCGGGCTCGAGCCGAGCCGCTGAATAATACTAATAAATAGCTAATAATGTCGCCACTGAGCCCACCGTATTGACACAGGTCTTTAAAGGGAAAGGTTCTCGTAATATCTACCTACTTTCTAATTCGATACCTTATGCCGTCGCCATAGCTGTGCCGTCTTGGTAAGTATTCATTAAACTAAGTACCTACTTAATAACAAGTAAGTGACTATACGCATATAGGTACTAAGTCGCCGGAAAAATATAAATTATCAGAACATCTACGACGATATCTCAGTACCTACAGAATAAGTAGAAAAATGTTTCACCGCGATAAGTCTCAGCATATTCAGTATTTTGTCCGAAGGTGAGTCCCGCCCGGCAGCGGCCGCGCACTGAACCACGTGCGGTGGCCGGTTTAGTCCACGTTCGACCCCCACAATTTCAACCCCCGGCCATGTTCAACCCCTAAACGTTGTCCACGTTCAACCCCCAGGGGTAGAACGTGGATTTCAATACATTGGTCATTTTTTCATTGTCCATATTCAACCCCAAGATGTTAGGTAAATAATATTAAAAATAAAGTATTAGTGACAACAGAAGTATATTTATTTTTGTAACAATTTATATTTTAAAGCTATTCAGAAGACATGACTTTTTGGTAAACGACAAAGGCGATTCGTTGACATACCACTATGCGTGTGAAGAGTTTAAAAAATAAATGGACACAACTTCTCCAGACAAAGATCAACCATTATTTCACCACTTGTAAAACGATTTACAATGTTATTTATCCGCTTATCATATTCTATTTGTTCTGGTCTTCTTTGATTAGTTTTTGTGCTTAAAATTTTTTGATAAATAGAATCATCCTCCAAAGTTTTTAAAAATTGAACCAGGTTAGAGGATTTACCTAATGTCCTATTTAACATAGCGTGCCAACCTTCTAACTTGTTTGTTGTGCGATGTCTTTCACCATAACAACACCATTTGTCTTTCATTAGGTTGTTCTCGAACCACTGTTTTACGAAATAATCATTAAATTTAGTTACAGCTTCATCAGTAGGACTATCCTCCATAATATAAAGATATCCATCGGTTACAGCTTCCGGTGGTAAATGAGCCAATACTGTCAATAAAGCTACATGTTTTCATGTGATTTTATTTTTGCTTAGATTAAGTTGTTCTGCTTTCTTCCATATAGCTCTATTGAAATGATAAAAGCATCCTTTTATTGAAGCTTCAGGAAATTTCTCTTCTAATGTTGACATAACAGCGGCTTCAAAATCAACTGTGAATTTCATTGGATCCCAGTTTGGGATACTTTTTTTTATTAAAGTAAAAAGCAAATTATATGTACTTTGCTTTTTATTTGTTAACAAAGCGTATAAGACCGGCATTATTTTAGTTTCTTTTTCAGAACTGCCTTCATCAGCGTGTAACGTATATAGTTGCAAAAAAGGACGTGGGCATGTTTTAAATGTCCCATCACCAAAGAAGTGTTTCTCTCTGCTTATTATATCCCTCGACGTATCAGACGCGAAAGCTATTATTCTATTGTTTTTATACTTATAGTCAAAGAGGAGAAACTTTTGAAAAATGTCGGGTACTTCGACATCCGTCGCTATAGCATATCTGGTTTTTTTAACACCTACCGCCATATTTCTTTTCTTATATAGGTTAGATTTAACATTTTTATACGACGGAAATTCTTTTATAGTGTCGTCACTTGCGTCTTTTAAAGAAATCACAGCTTCACGATATACAGTTGGGATAGTCTTCTTAAAATCTTCGCTAACTTTTGTTTTGCAAATCGAAATTGCCTTCCTGACTTCATTTTTCGCAATACTTTTTTGGCATTTATGTACTGTTGACTTCATAATTTTATTTTCAGTTAGCATAATAGTAGTAGTTCCATGACATTTAGGCCAGTTAACACACCGCCAGTAAGAAGAACCATTCTTATATTCTTTTTTCTGGTAATATTGATGACCTTCTAAGAGTAACACGCGTCCTC